AGTATGAAACTACTTTAGCCGAAACGAAGTGAGACTTTAAGCTATTGCATAGCTTTTATCGCGGGCTTTGAGCGCGGCGACCGAATCTAGAAATTCCGTAACGAAAATAAAACCTAAGACACCCATTCCGCCTACCATGTAGCTCGCGTTCAACACATTCACACGTTGCGCTTGTGTAGAGTTTAGTCTTATAACCATAATTAATTAATAAATAACCTATATATTCGTTAACACTGTTAAATTAGGAGTTATACATTAAAAAATACCCCAAATCTCATTCGTATCACTGGTTCGAAATTCAAATTCTAACTTGTTTGCTATTTTTCCAGTGATGCGTGTTAAAATTCGGAAATTTTATTTAATCAGTATATTATAATACAATAATAAAGCAAAACTAACTAGATATTAGAAACATTATTAAAAACAAAAGAAATACGATTTCTAAGCTTTTTAAAAAGTTTCTATTTAAATTGTCATCCGTGTTGGCGTTATCAAATGCGTAAAATGAAAAATATAAATGAATATTTTAGAATATTATCAATAAATGAGTGATTGACTTGATTGTGATGAAGCATTTTTTTATTCTGAACATGCCTAAATAGAAAAAAAATTGGAAAATTAGAGAAAGTTTAAATTCATGAAATCGTTACTTTTTTTGCCGCACAATTGAAAACCATCCAAAAGTGTTACGGTTCGCCAGACTTTTAGAAAGTTATACTTGCCCTCCTTTGCTTGTTAAAGGTTGGATTACCGAGATAGTATCAGAATTGCAGAGGATTTGTGTTCGATCATAAGTTGAGGTCGTCGTCGTTTGAAGTCGTCGTGGCCTAAGGGATAAGACGTCCGGTGCATTCGTGTTGAGCGATGCACCGGTGTTCGAATCCTGCAGTCGGTTGTACCAATTTTTCTAATGAAATACATAGGTACTCAACAAATGTTCACGATTGACTTCCTAGGTGAAGGAATAATATCGTGTAATAAAAATGAAACCCGCAAAATTATAATTTGCGTAATTACTGGTGGTAGGACCTTATGTGAGTCCGCACCGGTAGCTACCACCGCGCCTATTTCTGCCGTGAAGCAGTAATGCGTTTCGGCTTGAAGGGTGGGGCAGCCGTTGTAACTATACTGAGACCTTACAACTTATATCTCAAGGTGGATGGCGCGTTTACGTTGTAAATGTCTAGGGGCTCCAGTAACCACTTAACACCAGGTGGGCTGTGAGCTCGTCCACCCATCTAAGCAATAAAAAAAAAGGAAACCAATTCTATGTACAGAATAAGGTCAGTGCTGCTAGCTCAATCTTGCCAAGGTTGCCATTGAATTCTTCTGAATAATGTCACGAGTTATGTTTTAGACTAATTTCTCACGTGCCGTTTCGCATGTACGGAGTTTCCTTTATATCACGTGGATAAATCACCTATGCTGATCAGTGAGATGAATGGCAGCCTACATTATTTTCCAAGGCAAAGAGTCGGTTCACGGGTTTGAGCGTGAACTCACTGAGTTACTTACTCTTCATTAATAATCTCAAATGTTTCCTATTATTTTCTTCAATGAACAGACACTGAAATCTACATTTTTATTATATATCTATGATAACAGTAGATGCGTAACTGAACTCAGCCTTGAAACTACCTTAACCAAAACATAAATTTTTAACACGTGCAAACCTTAACTTGATCACGACGATTCTGCGTGTTTTATTGAGATTACTCACGCAGATTCAAAGGGATGGTGCAGTGAACTTTACTTATTATTTACGAGGTCGCCTTATGTCATCCAACGGTACATGACATGTAGGTATAGCAAGGACCACAGCAATATTTTTAAAGTTCGATATTTAAGAAAATTAAATGCTCAAATCATGCAACTTAGGAGCATAAGATGCGCTCAAACATGATCCGAATTTTTTTCTTTTTTTTTTAAGCTCCTTGACATAGTATACATCTGTATACAGTCCGATTTTGTACGCTGTTACAATAAAAAAATCAATAAAATCACACTTTTCGATTTGCAATCTGTCATTCTCAAAGTAATGCTCGTAATGTTTTCTCACTTTCGCGCCAATCTTTTTTAAATGATTTTTTAATATGTTTTTGGAGGCTATGATTACTTTTGTCACTGAGGCCTTTCCGATGTGCCCAGGCCAGGTGGATGAGGACGGCCTGTGGGATTTGTTAACAGCTACTTACGCCTACGCGAATGCATCAACTAACGGCTCGGCATTACGACCCGCTGAGGACATTCGAGCGATATTGTTCTGATATTAAAGTGTGATTGTTCTTGTGATATTAAAATGGAGCCAAAAAAACCAAATTGGCACCTATGTAGTAGTATGGAGCGAATTTTTTTTTTAAACTCTCCATGTTCTTACTATATGGCCATAAATGTCGTAGGCCTTACGATCGCTGGAGCAGACGGATTCTCGAGTATAGACCGCGCAGCGGAAGACGTAACGTGGGACGCCCCCTGGCTAGATGGTGCGATGACCTCCGCACGGTGGCCGGCAAGAAGTGGATGAAGAGAGCCGCAGACCGGGCTCAGTGGTGTGGATTGGGAGAGGCCTATGTCCAGCAGTGGACGACTATGGGCTGATGATGATGATGATGATGATGTTCTTACTAGGTAATAGTTCAATATTAATTTACTGGACTATGGATATCTATTTAACTACACATAAAAACAAAAAAACGTACTCTGTTTGTAACAGAAACGCTTGAAACTACATAATTATAGAAACACTGTTTGTTACACGTTGATCATTAAACATAAAACAGATCGTTCAAATTAATTAAATGATTGAACTCATTTACGTATCGCGTAGTTCATTAACTTCCGAATTCACAATATATGAAATGCGTATCTATTTGATGTCATTATTCCGGTCGTGAAGGACGGCCGCGCAATAAAATTTAGCGCTTAATCCGATGTGATTTGGTTTCAATTAATTAGTAACCAATAATTAAAAGGTTCCAGGGGAGTCTAAGATATTGCGTATATCCGAGAGCTTATGACAGTTTTAGGGGCTATTTAAAAAAATCTTTTTCACGCGGCAGTCCCTCAACGATGCGCTTTTTTTTATTGCTTAGTTGGGTGGACGACCTCACAGCCTACCTGGTGTTAAGTGGTTACTGGAGCCCATAGATCTACAACGTTAATGCGCCATCCACCTTGAGATATAAGTTCTAAGGTCTCAGTATAGCTACAACGGCTGTCCCAGCCTTCAAACCGAAACGCATTACTTTTTCACGGCAAAAATAGGCAGGGCGGTGGTACCTACCCGCGCGGACTCACAAGAGGTCCTACCACCAATAATTACGCAAATTATAATTTTGCGGGTTTAATTTTTATTACACGATGTTATTCCTTCACCGTGGGACTCAATTGTGAACATTTGTTGAGTACGTATTTCATTAGAAAAATTGTTACCCACCTGGGTTTCAACCACCGGTGCATCGCTCAACACGAATGCATCGGACGTCTTATCATTTAGGCCACGACGACTAACAATGTGTATCGGTAATTTCCTGATCAGTTTGAAACCAAAAACGTACAAATTTATTTAAAAACAAGCGTGTGCCCGCCATTACAGCTATCTTGAAGATAGACACACACAAACAGACAAAGCGATCTTTCAATCACTTCACATGCAGTACTTATACTTTATAATTACATAGTAGATAAAAATTTATGAAAATGTCGATTTAATGTATGATCAAACCGCACGATTTTTACGTTGTTACTATTTTTACGAGATTATTAGTATTGTTAACCCTGAAAAACATTCTAGTAGTTCATATTATTTGTTTAATACAAAACAATTATCAAATGTTTAAGGACAGTAATTTATTTTAAGCAGTCCTTTGGATGTGTCCGGCATTGTTGCTTCGATTGAATGGTAATAACCACTTACCATCCACAGACGCATCAAAAATAATATTATCATACCTTGTAACTATACTGAGACCTTAGCACTTATATCTCAAGGTGGGCGGCGCATTTACTTTGTAGATGTCTATGGGATCCGGTAACCACTTAACACGTGGTGGGCTATGAGCTCCTCCACCTATCTAAAAAAAAGCAAAAAGAAAGGAAGCTGTATAGATCCAGGTGTTCCAAAAAATTTTTTACGAATCAATAGATTATAATGGACATATAAACCGAAACGGGTATTTACTATATATTTACTATCCATATTTTATCTAGCATTAATGCATGGGTATGCAGATTGCAAGCCCAGCAAAATTTTTACAGTCAATTAATTCTGGCTTTGTGATCTGGCCGCTTTCCTCCCCATGACTGGTGTATTTCCCATTCGTAATAAGCTCCGTAGGCCCCTGGCTTCTCGCGTGCTGTCGAGCTGTTCGGACGGTACCGCGCAGAAGTCGTCCATCTAAGCAATAAAAAAAGAACAAAAATAACTTACAAACAAGAACAGTCTTCGAACACGAAAATATCTATATATTAATACATGAAGCAAAAACTTAGTATCACTTTTTACGAAAATTGCGCGGTCGGAGGAGTATGAAATTTTCCACACTGCCACACAATGCTAATTTTTTTTTTAAATAATGCATAAAAGATACATTAAATCAATAAAGAAAACATTACACACACTACATACCATGTATTTGACGCACACACGCATGCATACTATTTATTGTCAAACTTTTGTTCTTGGCGTCTGTTGTCAAATTGAGAATAGATTAAATATTGTTTGCCTTTGTTAATATTTTTTATAGTGTAGTCTTGGCTGTAAAGCTCCGTGTCGCTTCTCGACGTGTCCAGTCCCGTTCCGAGATCAAACGCGTACGGTTTCACTACATACAACTCATCGTATCCGTGAAATTCCTAAAAGGATTTAATTACACATAAACCAAAGATAAAATCACATTAATACAAATAAATATTATAAAACAATAAATATTTGTAAAATTCGATGCGGCGTTTATTGATATTGACGCGTATTTATTTAGATTTTGTAATCGATTTGGACAATGTATTCGGAAGGTAGATTGCCGAAAGTTTTCTTGATTTTCGCGGGCTTTATAATATTCAGTTTATGTGGTGAGGTGGTAAGTCAGAGGTATCCGCCGGCGCCAGGACTACTGAAATACTTGGAGCAAGACGTCTGCTACAGCCTGTACTACTATCTTAATTGGGTAATGTATATCAATCTACAGATTTTATAATAGATCAAAAGCATACAACTAAATGAAAAAAAATGCATAGAAAATTAAAGGATTCAATAAATACGTGCAGCCGCTACCTTTACTTTCCTAAATATAATTGTTTAATTACATAATAATTATTCATTTAATGAAATTTCTAATAGCATGCAGAGAAAGTGTTTCCACGTGTGGTGAACCTTTAAAAACCGTTTAACTCTGCGATACTTAATGTATCCTTTTTGAAAGGTCGCTATTTTAGGATGTGGCTTCTCAGTCACTCAGTTAAAATAAAATTGCATTACAACAACGTTTCATTCAAAAACTAATTTATAGATTTCATTATTTGTCATTTAAAAATTCGTATATTTCAATACTTTCACCTTCAATTTTAACAATGTTTTTCTTTGCAAAAACTTCTTGAACACAGCGTGCTCGTACTAACAATAATAGAGATAAGAAATCCACTTACTCTATTTGGTTTTACTATTTATTTGATCGCCTCGAATAAATAACATAACTGGAACAAGAAACGTCCTAGATCGAAAACACTTAATAGCTCTAAAATTATCTCAATCGATAGACTAAAAAATAGCACTCATTTCTGACACAGATACTATTATGAATCGGCTATAGGCAGTCGTTATTCATGGTAATTTAGTACATGAATCACATGAATTTAACCTTAATATTGTCTATTGATAAAAATACAAATTGATCAGAGGGTATCCAATCGTACCTATAAGTATTTGAAGCTTTCTAATTCTTCTTTTATTCCGAATTTTATTCTATATAAATAAAAAAATTAGAGAGTCAGTTGTTTGATGAACTTTAGAAATTATCATTTGAAGTTTTTATTTATTTATTTATCAGTTTGCAGAGAAACCTTGCTTCAAAAATCCTCAACCTACATCAATGTTAAAGTCTTTCTAAAATCTTTACAAGCACGCTCTTAATTACTACTAAATTCCATTGTCTATCACCTCTTTGCCTATACGATCAAAAAGAGAAAGTGAGACTGCTAGTTTGTTACTAGACTTAGTGTATTACTCATTCATCTGGAGATAAAGTCCGTAAATAAGGGGCCGCTAATGAGATGCGATGTAGTCTGTAAACAATATAACACAACAATTAACTTACTTCATTGACGCTGCGACGTGACCTGTGAAATACCTATGTGGATGCCATCGCTAAAGGCTTGCTCATACACAAATGATATTCGCAAACAAAATAACGATTACCCTTGAACTAATGTATCGTATTTCAATTTATGTTTCCGTCAACAGGTGAACAGTTTAGATAAGTAATTGTTGATTAAGTAGGTAGTGATTTATTTAATTTTTAAATTATCAATAACAAAGATGACTAACAACATACAAACTCATACAGTTAGTGTTTATCGTAAATTCAAAAAAGCACTGTCTTTCGTTATTAATCCAATATTACATCATCGTCTGTACCCGTGATACGACAATATCGGTCACGTCGCTGATATTAAATGGCCTTGGATCCCGGATGATTTTTTTCGGTTCAGGCATTTATCGCTAAATGAAAGTGAGGTTATATTCTCGCCATCTTTCGGTACTTCTCTAACAATAAAGAACACCCTAAGTTTACCTGCAATTGGAGTAAAGACAGACTCTTGTCACTGAGTTTCTCGCCGGACCTTCTCAGTGGGTCGCGTTTCCGATTCGGTGGCAGATTCTGCAAAGCACTGCTCTTGCTAGGGCCAGTGTTAGCAATACCTCCGGCTTGAGCCCTGAGGGTTCACCGACACGCTAGGGTAACGCTGATATAGTCTCTCAAGGCTATCAGCATATGTAGGAACAAAAAAAAATACTCATTCGAGATATGTAGGGTATGTGTTTACACAATGCACAGCGCGCGCTATAATAATACGATTCTACCACAAAGAAATAGTCACGTGGCCAATGAGAACTGATGTTAGAAAAGTTTTCCACGAAGTCCCTAGCATCTATCATGTCCCATCAATCAGCCAGAGAGTCTTTTAACCACCGGTTTTGATTGGTGGTATATCAATATATGATCTAGAATCAGAGACAAGATAAAAAAAACCTTTACAAAAGAGGTACTTCGACGCTTTCTTTAAGGAATTTTTATCAACAACATAAGGAACAGTAAATGTGACTGTTAGTAAAATTTTATAAGCTGTCTAGCTCTACCCGTCCGCTTCGCTGGGCATTTAAAATTAACATTATTATTTCTCATCCCCACAAAGATTCTCATCATTAACGCCCCCGCAACTGGTGTAGGGAGTCCAACACTCATATAAATATTAGCCTATCCATTAAGTACATGTATTTTCTACACGGATACCAAGTTTCAAGTCAATCGGATGCATGGTTCAGTAATCATAACGGAACATCCGTAAAAACCACTATAGATTTATATATTAGTATTTAGTTTATATGTGTGAGCGAGGCTTTACAGGATGTACTATCTAAAACAGACTTTTTGACTGCAACGAGTCTGCAGCTACCTGTCTGGTCGGCACCACTGACCCATGAAGGTGCACCGCTTACGTTTTGACTCAACAGTGCAATGCCCTAGTTCCAAGTCCTTCACTCGGCGAATAAAATAAATCACTTTAATTTACATTTCAAATGACGATATCCTAACTCTGAATTGTGAGTCGGCACGGGTAGGTACCACCACCGGCCTATTTCTGCCGTGAAGCAGTAATGCGTTTCGGTTTGAAGAGCGGAGCAGCCGTATACTGAGACTTTAGAACTCGTATCTCAAGGTGGGTGGTGGCATTTACGTTGTAGATGTCTATGGGCTCCTGTAACCACTTAACACCAGGTAGGCTATGTGCTCGACCACCCATCTATACAATAAAAAAAAAACTTCGCAATCATTTAACACAAGGTCAGATGTGATCTCGCCTTTCCAAGCCAATCAAAGAAGCACCGACAATTCACCCTCCATCATTTTAGTGACGTTCGGTATTCCTGTACCGTTGTTGACAAACAAATTCACTTCGGCTATGATACAATCGTAACGACCTTTAAACGGGAAATATGAAGCAAAAATACGTACCAGACGCTTCCATCGCTTTATTACGGAAGCTATAAGGTTAACAGTTCATCCTTTACTGGTGGTTCTACTATTGGTGGCAGGGCATATTGTGAGCTCCTACGGGTAGGTACCACCACCATGCCTATTTCTTCGATGTATTGTTTTTTTTCCCTACCTATGCTGATAGCCTTGAGAGGCTATTTCGGCTTCGCCCTAACGTGTGTAGGTGAGCTTACGGGGCTCAAACCGGTGTTGCTAACACTGACCCAGTAGCAAGAGCAGTGCTTCGAAGAATCTACCACCGGATTGGAAACGCGACTCACTGAGAAGATCCGGCGAGAAACTCAGTGAGCCGATGTATTGTAAACACTGAGACTTAAAACAGATCTTAAGGCGGGTTGCGGCATTTATGTTGTTGATGTCTATGGGCTTCGATGATCACTTAAAACAAGGTGGTCCATGAGCTCGTCCACCCATCTATGTAACATTGTATTGTACTTCCTAGTATTTAACTTCTTTTCGTTTTTCTTTTCAGACCTCGTTGGCCGATTGCAAAACAAACTTCGAAGGTAAGAAGTACACTCTCGGCTAGTAATGAAAAGTAATTTAGTTTTTTCTAAATTTGCTTTGTTTCAAATTAAAATATTTCATTTCAGAAACTGGAATATCAGATATACCTTCGACGGTGAAAGTTAGATGTCAATCAAAAAACTCTATACGTTTTGAAACCGAACCCTCGGAGCACTGGCAACTATTCATTTTAATGGAACATGATAACTTCGATCCAGTAAGTCATGAAATGTGTGAATAGTGTGAGGCGCATAAGTTATTAACAATGATTATGGATTGCAAACGATCAACAATATAGGACATATCATTATTTACTTATTAATTCCTTAATTCTATAATTTTTTCTTATTAAAATGTTTTGCCGCCTGTGTCTTACGAGCTAAGTTTTTGATATTTTTTAATTTTACTGTTGCTGGAGAGTCTGCTAAATGCAAATCCATACTGTCGTAAATGAAAAAGATATCTATCTGTCTTGAAAGCTATCTATCCTAGGAGTAATTTCACGCGCACTTCAGACTTCAAACACATATTTCTCATCATTTGAAAGTTTACATAAGTAAACTATTTTACTTTTTTATTTTACTGAATATATCATATATACTTACTTCTTAATTGAATATGCAATTTCAAAAAGGGCACATCTCTGAAAATGTAAAATGTTCAGGAAATGAAAAAAAAACTGATTATTTTCTAAGGCAGTGTAAAATTTAAAATATTAACTTTGAGTTAAATTTTAGTGTTAATTAGCAACTGAAAATTACTGGAATTATTATAAAATGGGTGTAGGTAAGCTTCAAAACGACATGTAAATGAAAAAACGTATTTGACAAAATATGCGACATGTGCCCTTTTCGAAATTGCATCTTCAATTGTAAAAACATGCTAAAATTCATATACAGGCCAGCAAACGAACGGAAACTTGCATATTTAACAGTTTTACAATTGAATTCCGGTGTCTATGCGGGCTCAGTCGTGCGATAAACGTTAACGAAATGATAAACGGTTTATTGTTATTTGGTTGGCTTAGATTTTGAAAAGTAATTCAACGGTTCTTAGAAGGTTCATGATTAATTAAATTTGTTGATAATTTATTGATACCGCGTATCGTAAGACATATCATGGATAGGCCCCCTACAATATGGACCAACGACCTATTGAGGTTCACGGGGATCCGTTGGATGCAGTCAGCGCAGGTCCGATCGTTGTGGCGAGGCTTGAAGGAGGCCTGTGTCCAGCAGTGGGCATCTGTGGGCTGATAAAAGAAAAAGAAGAAAGAAGAGGAAGAATTTTTAGAAGATACCTTTATATCCGTATGCCTTAGTACGAATATTGCATTTTTATCACTGATGTCAAATTGGTGTTGATAAGATTTTCCACAAACTTTCTGTATACCCAATAATAGTAACTACTAAGTTCAATCAATAAAACTGCCAAAATCTGATGCATAAAACGTCATGCATTTAAAAATGTTTAAATCTCATCACTTATTCATATATTCGGCGCCCGATATTGTTTTGGTTAGGAAAATTCCGATGAAAACTCATTATAAACATTATATTGCTCAGGTTGAAACTATTGAAAAATATGAGCGACATTTCTCAAGATTGTTACTGCGCGTCGAATCGACTTTGCATGTTTCTGATGGAGGTCGCAAAATTCAGAACTGAATTTGATATTGAGTTATTCATGAGTCGTTCAATTCATTCGCTTACAAAACGTGCTAGTGATTTAAATATCTTGGCTGCGGCAAGTAAAATCATAAAACTTCTGGTGCAGCGGCGTATCGAAATGCCTCCCAACGATATTGCTACCATTGCGTGGCAGGTCTTTCTCGACCCACCAGCACTAGGGTAGATTAAGATGCTATAACTTTGCAAAACATACTTTATACAATTTATAGTATATAGTTGTTGGTGTCGAACAAGCGAGAGTGACGTAGCTTTCTTCGTTCGAACTATCTGAAAGTACCGCGACGGGTCGGTATGGGTCTATTCCGCAGTGAAGGTGTTAATCAAACTTATACAAATTTTGTAAAGGCGACAATTGATTATATGAATTTATTAGTTACTGAACCTCTGGGCCTGCGGAGGGACTTCGGTTCCCTCTGTATTTTGTACCGTATGTTCCATGGGGAGTGCTCTGAGGAATTGTTCGAGATGATACCGACATCTCGTTTTTACAATCGCACCGCCCGCCACCGGAGTAGAGTTCATCCATACTACCTGGAGCCACTGCGGTCATCCACAGTGCGTTTCCAGAGGTCTTTTTGCCACGTACGATCCGGCTATGGAATGAGCTCCCCTCCACGGTGTTTCCCGAGCGCTATGACATGTCCTTCTTCAAACGAGGCTTGTGGAGAGTATTAAACGGTAGGCAGCGGCTTGGCTCTGCCCCTGGCATTGCTGAAGTCCATGGGCGGCGGTAACCACTCACCATCAGGTGAGCCGCATGCTCGTCTGCCTACAAGGGCAATAAAAAAAAAAACTGTTCACAACACTAGAGCCATAACGTAAAGTTACGTAACGTATGATTTCCTTTTCAAGCTCTTTTATTTCACCGAACTGATTTACCTACATTGGCTTTTCAGATACCATTCACGCTAATCGAACCAAATAATATATTCGGAGAATTGATAACGACCGCAAATAAAGAATACCAGATCTGGTCGACTTATTTGGACGAGTATGGGACGCTTCAGGATTGGATGGAAGGTCCGATCGTTTTAAAGTTTGATCAGCGCAATCAGCAACCGGACGATATAAAGTACAACGTGACGCAGGAGTTCAAATACATAATCTTAGGCAACGATTCCTATACGATCAACGGAAAATTCGTTTGGAACACCACAGGTGGTAAGTTTCACTTTATATAATACATAACACAATAAGTAGTCCAGGCAGCTAAAATTTCAAATTATTGAAACCGATAATAATATATATTTAACTATTTATCTTTATCTATCTATATATGTACTTATATATAAAAATGAATTGCTGTTCGTTAGTCTCGCTAAATCTCGAGAACGGCTGGACCGATTTGGCTAATTTTAGTCTTGAATTATTTTTGAAAATCCCGAGAAGGTTTAAAAGGTAGATAAATATGAAAATGCTCGGAATTAAATATAAATAACAATTTTGTTTTCCCTTTGATGTCCCCCCCGTCGGACGGATTCATTTTGTTTGTTTTAAGTTTATTTTATTTATTGATTGATTGAGGCACTACGATGTCTGCCTGGTCAGCTAGTTACTTAATACTAATTATTATTTTCAGATCGGGACCTATGCTTTGATATCGCGAATATTTGCCAAAACACGAACATGAAGCACGCTAAAATATGGGTATGTTTTATCTGTAATATTTCGATTAGAATTTGTTTTAATTCACAAATATTGACAAGTCGTCCACTAATACAATAACCAATCAAATGTAATGCGTTAATATTGTGGTAGCTCTGGTTGTCTATAAAAACACAAATCTACAGTTACTGTAATATTAGCCTCCATCGAAATAAACTTTAAAAAAATTGGTAGGCAGCGTCTTGGCTGTGCTCCCGGCATTGCTAACGTCCATGAGTGACGATAACCATTTAGCATCAGGTGTGTCGTATGTACGTCTGCCTACATAGGCAACAAAAAAGAGCTTAATAATTTTACGATATGGCTTAAGACGTTGAATGTTTATTACCCTTGTTTATGCAGTATTTTAGGGCGAGCTCACAATCCATCTGATGATAAGCACAATATGCCTCGCCAGTAAGTGCCAGAATTTCTTAGTCTCTTATCACAATCACGGGAAGAGATAATTTCACATAACCACATAGAAAATACCTTAGAAAACATTAATTAGCTCCGGTGATTATTAACCCTAGTAGGATGTCTATTACTATTGCGTCATCAACTTTATCCGTTTTTATTTTATTTTGGCTAGGTATATTTGCCGCAGAAGAAACATGCACTGCGATTTGTACGATGGGACAAGCTATAAGCAACACAAATGAGTCTTCGAACCCATGTTTCAGAATAAGTAGTTCACGTTTTGTGTCAAATGTCAATATATGTATATATTTGGTGGTACCACCACCTCACCTATTTCGGCCGTGAAGCAGTAATGCGTTTGGGCTTGAAGGATGGGGCAGCCGCTGTAACTATACTAAGACCTTAGAACTTATATCTTAAGGTGGGTGGAGCATTTACGTTGTAGATGTCTATGGGCTCCAGTAACCACTTAACCACCACTTAAGACCAGGTGGACTGTGAGATCGTCCACCCATCTAAGCAATAAAAAATAAATTAAATGAATTCGATTGATTAATGATTTGATTCCTCTTTTGTAATCTACCTTGTTCTGGTTTGTATAAAGTAAATAAAATTTAGTTAATTTTCAGCCAACAGCACACCCCAGCTTTGATGTGGAAAATCTAGTTTTGAATGACGAATGTGAAATTCACGTGAAGGGTATTCACGGAACCACGAAACACAAATACAAAACTCCATCCTGTTTCGAATTGCCCGAATGTTTTTTAAGTAAGTTATAATTTATTTTACTAGGAAAAAATTCGAATGAAAAGCTCTCCCAAAAACCGACTGTAATCTGACCGCACGATTCTTCGAAGTTTTTTTTTTCGTAAATTATACATAAAATCCCAACTGGTTTTTTCCAAATAGCAGTATATAAGGATTTTGGCCATGCTGAAACTAAATAAAGGATCACTAAAACAACACAGCGTAAATCGGCAAGAGATAAAGTACAAATCTCAATTATTACTGCACAATAAGGTTGTCCTATAGTAGGACGAAGCAGTTAGGATAATGGTACTGCGGGCTCACGATACCAAGGAATGCGGGTTGGTAGTATGCTGGTTAGAGAATGTTGCTGTCTCCGACCCTGGCTTAGCGGTCTTTTACGACAGCGACGGAAGCTGATTAAGTAGGCCACGTTGGATTGACACTACACAGCAAAATATCTTGTTTCTGTTTTTTGAGGTGCATACTTGGTGAATATTCTTCTTCTTCTTCTTATTTGTCGGTACCACTCTTGACAAAGTGGTCGTGGTCATCACTTCAAGTGTTGTTGGTAAGATTCAGAACTGATGGAGTGGAGGCGTGTCACTCTGCCGTGGCCACTCTGATGGCCATAATGTGCCATTTATAGCCGCTTTTATCTGGTCAGTCCACCTAATAGGTGATCTTTCTCCTGGTACCTTTCCCTGGACCACAAATCTATTATTATTTAATATTGCTCTACTTTATCTAAATTAAGAGTGAATAAGGGTAGTTATCTTATCTGAGGGAAGTACATTAAATGACGTTATTTATTAATGTCATTGTCTTTATAATGAACAGATAACATGGAACCGGAGATTCCACAAGACGTGGCCATAGCCGCCGATCAAGATTTGCGGGGCTGGTGGAACATCAACGTAGCGTGGGCGAAGCCACATTTTCAACCGGAGATTTATAATGTGACCGTTCGAGCTAATATGATAAGATCGATTATTTTACCCGGGGTATGTATATAAACTAATTTGTTTTCCCTTACACCGTACCCGTCGCTTGCGACAAAGGGCTCGACGAGTAAATTAACCCTCAGACACAGCCCACTGAGTTTCTCGCCGGATCTTCTCAGTGAGTCGCGTTTTGATCCGGTGGTAGATTCTGCGAAGCACGGCTCTTGCTAGGGTTCGTGTTAGCAACATCATCAGGTTTGAGCCCCGTGAGCTCACCTACTAGTTAAGGCTACGCTGATATAGCCTCTCAAGGCTCTCAGCTTAGGTAGAAAAAAAAAACTTACAGTATAAAACTCAAATAAATGTTCTATTGAGCGTGATAATTCTAATACTGTGTTTGGTTATTTGCGATAGTAAACTTACAAGTGAAATAGGCATTTTTTGGAAGTATAGAATAGCATTGAAGTATGCGATAGCGTATATACAAAAACAATTAAGACTTCGACTTATTGTCCCACGTATACGACATCTGTGAGCCCCTGCAATGACTTTAAACCAAGTAGACTATGATTCTCGTTCAACCTATCTCTCCTCCAACTCTCGTTCATGTTCTAATAAAAAAAGAAATGGCATCCATATTATAATAATAACAGGTCCATGACACAAATAGTTTTAAATAAACTTTATCGTGTATTCTTTCCTATTCTACTTTCCTATTTAGCTCTCTAATTCGTTAATCTTCTACTTATTAATTTAACTAAATTAGTGGTGTGGGCATGTTGGAAGACCTCACTGATCGATTCCACCGTCCTATTTCTACTTGGGTCGTGAAGCATTCATATTTTTTAGCTTCACTATTGTGCCAATTTAATTAAAACTGTAATCTCTAGCTTCAAGGCTGACAATGGCATTCAGAGTGCTTAGTGCGAGTTTTTTAACGTTCTCGATAGCGTAAAAGTTAACCCAAATTTGTATTGAGTTGGAACGTTTGCCTGCGTTTGCCGCCATGGGCGCTGTTCCAACTGCTACTTTGATTTAACTTTTACGTTACACAGGTCACAGTGAGTTTGATTGTCACTTAAAATCTGTTGAGCCATGAGCTCAGAGTTGTCTCTAGACCTAGTTAATATATAAATATATTTTAGATCTAAAATAGTATTGTTTTATAACAGAACGCGACTGAGACTACATTTAGAAACATACCCAACACGTTCCTTAGCGCCGGCAAAATCTACAATGTTTCGGTATATGCAATAATTGGCCAAAAAGCTTCCCACACGAGTAGAAGAGCTTTTACTCCAGGTAAATATGAAGAGCTTACATTTAATTATCTCCTAAATATAGTATTACTGTATTAGAGTGTAATAGATACGATGATATACCCTTTATTGTTTTCTTTAACAATCTAATAAACAACGTACGAACGCATAGAGCACGTGCAAACAAACAAACATTTTTTTTTATAAGGCAAAATCCAGTAACAACACTATCCATTTTACGAATTAGGTAAATGTTTAATAATACTGCAATGGTTGTTATTAATTTTTTATAAATTCGTTTGGTTAAGAAGGGGAGCTCTCCTGGGCTTAAATGGTTTACACTTCGATCAACAATACTTACTATTGTTGATCGAAGGGTTTACGGGACTCATAGTGATCACAATTTGAACGCTCAACTTGACGCATGAAGGCGAAAATTCTATTGATTTATATAACGACATAAATAGACAAGATTTTAGTTTTTATATAGATAGGAAACAGACAATTTGTCAACATAGTAATACCTATATGTATTCGTGTCCAAAATCCACCTAATTTAGTTGGAAATAACATGTAAGTCTTAATAGGAATAAACACATATCATTTTTATAAATATCAGTTGGACTTTCAAAATACTATACAATATAGCTGTAGTATTGTAATGTAAGTTGCATTCCGCTCGACTTAAATTTAATTTTTCTCTTACCATCGCCGAAAGTTCGGTTTTCGTCCCGCTGTACAGGGAAGAAAGTCTAACTTTTTCTCCCTGGGTACTGACAAGTGCGCATGCGCGTTAGTGTCTACGTCTGCTCTCACGCATCTAAAATTCTCCGCCATTGTTGTGTTCGGGTAATTTGCAATATTGGTTTTAGTGTAAAAGTGAAATAAACAAAAGGCAATAAAATTTAATAGTGAAGTATTAAACAAAGATGAGTTCATCAGGCAGTTCTTATTCAATTAGAAGTAGTTTATTTGAAAATTAAAAAACAGTTAAATTATTTTTTTATTACCTCCCACCAGGGCTGCGCCCATGGACCCTCGGCTCGGTACTCCACGGGTGCTAAGTTTTTTACAATATCGAACTTTCGGCCTGATAGGAGAAAAAATAGTATGTGCACCGCGGGAAAAAAGTAGGACATCTCAGCCCGCGTGTTTTATCTCTCCTTCGGCTCGGGTGGTAATTTTACACGCGAGAGGAAATGTCCAACTTTTCTCCCTTGCTGCACAATGTACTATTAACCAATGTTCGCTTATTAGTTTAATGTTGAGCGAAACGTTGAGCACATTGGGTTAGTGTAGTGAATGTCAGTTGTAGTGAGTGTGGTGGGCAGGCATGCTGCGCTGGGTGTGGGCGGGCGCCACGGCAGGCGCGGGGTGCGCGGCGGGGGGGCTGCTCGCGGCCACCCTGCTGTGCTGTGGACACCGCCGCGCCACCAGTCGCGTGTCACAGGTACAGACACACAACACCTACTTACGGCCCAATGAATGTCTCGCCGGATCTTCTCAGTGGGTCGCATTCCCAATCCGCTGGTATATTCTGCAAATGCTCTTGCTAGAGTCAATATTAGCAACACTCCGATTTGAGCCCCGTGAGCTCACCTACATGTTAGGGCGAAGCTGAAATAGCCTCTCAAGGCTGTCAGCATAGTTAGGGAAAAAAAAAACAACACCTACTGTATAAACCCGTCGGAAATATCTGCGAACCTGGCTTAATGACGTCATGCAAACTAGGGAGATAGCAAAAAATATCGAGATGTTGGAAAAAACATACCAGAAGTAAAATAAAAAATAAAATATATTTATGTGTTTCTATTTTTTTTTTAACCTCCACATATCGCAACCCAACTTCAACTAATAAGATATACAGGGTGTCACAGTTTAAAACATTCGAATAGCTGTTATTCCAGAGCATTTAAAATATCTAGCTCATTTCTGTAGTAAGTGCTCAACTTGAGGTAGGCCATGAGCTTAACAACTATGCCAAAGAAAAATTACATGGTAATTGGTCGATAAAGTAAGCAAGATGCCGTATGCGCGCCACACTCACTTTGTTACTCTATGAAGTTCATTTAAAATTTTCTGCTTTTGGCCACTATCGCTCAGATAAATAAATATATATACATATTTTATAATAATTAATCATTTTTTTTTTTACAAATAGTAATCTGAAGTCATGTTTAAAGGAGACGACAGTCTTTACTTATTTCGTCTTGTTGCTCTTTGGTTCTAATGAAATTAAATAGCCGGTTCAATATTAAAAAACTCGATATATCCCCATTTTATATAATACAGGAAGACCCCGACGAGAAAACGCCCAAAGAAGACGATGTCGAAATCATCGGCATCGAATCGGGCAGCGCAGACGATCACTGGGAGGTACGCTCGGACCGGGTGCTACTGCACGAAGTCATCGGCGAAGGAGCCTTTGGCGTCGTGCGGAGAGGCACTCTCGCGCCGGGAGGCAAGTCGGTCGCTGTTAAAATGTTAAAAGGTAACATTACTTTTAATCTTTTTTTTATTGCTTAGATGGGTTGACGAGCTCACAGCCCATCTGGTGTTAAGTGGTTACTAGAGCCCATAGACATCTACGACGTAAATGCGCCACCCACCTTGAGATATAAGTTCTAAGGTCTCAGTATAGTTACAACGGCTGCCACACCCTTCAAACCGAAACGCATTACTGCTTCACGGCAGAAATAGGCGGGGCGGTGGTACCTACCCGCGCGGACTCACAAGATCATAACCGTCATTCAATTCAGAGCATAGGTGCACAATATGAGTTTCTTCAACGATTAAGTCGTTTAAGCCAGGCGGAGTCTTCGCCTGCCGATAAAGCCGAACAATAATTATCTATTTAGTAATTTAAGTCGCAAACAACGGGCCCATACCCAAGCCATCGCGGTGCCGAGAGCTTGTAAGCACTGCGCGTTTCATTTTAGTTTTCTAATTTCAGAATTTCCATCACAGGAAGAAGTAAGGTCTTTTCGGTCTGAGATGGAGTTGATGAAGAGTGTAGGTGCTCATCCCCATGTTGTCAGTTTAGTTGGATGTTGTAGTGGACGAAAACCCCTCATCGTCGCTGAATATTGCAGTAGAGGAGATCTCCTCAGCTATTTGAGGTAGTTAGTTCACAGAATTTCATTATGATTTTATTCTACTTTCATTACGAAGCCTTAATTTTTTTTTTATATTACAGATGCTCTTGGGACATGATCGTGTCGAAACATACCGCAAAGTACTACAATAATAATATGGACAACATGGATAGCTCCAAACTAAAAGTCCATAAAGAACACACAAAGCTTGTCGTTAACAAACTCTACGAGTTACAAGGTCCGTGTGAGACTGAACTAACGCCTTTAGACTTACTCTCTTTCTGTCGTCAAATCGCTATGGGCATGGAATTTTTAGCTTCAAACAGAATTGTACATCGGGACTTGGCTGCTAGAAATGTATTGGTAACTGAAGATAAGACTTTAAAGATAGCAGATTTTGGTCTATCTAGAGATATTTACGAAGAGAATCAGTATAAACAGAAAGGAAACGGTAAGATGCCTGTGAAATGGATGGCATTGGAGTCCTTGACTAGAAGGGTATACACGACGCAGAGTGATGTGTGGGTATTATTATTTTTAATTTCATATTGTGTTCTCGGAACAAACATTCAGTAAAGGGTATTCATATTTTTCTGCAGTTGGTCCTTCGGCGTGGTGATATGGGAGATAGTAACAGTGGGAGGCTCGCCATATCCAGAGGTGCCCGCAGCGCGCTTAGTGAGATCGTTAAGATCCGGTTACAGGATGCCAAAACCGGTCAACTGTAGTAAGCCATTGTAAGTTTTTCATAAGTATAAACGAACAGATAAAGTCAGAGCTTATTTGATGCATAGCGATCCCTGGAGCCCGAATGTTTTGACGTGACGTCTTATAATTCGATGGAGCCGGCTGCACGCACGAAAAAACATGAATCATACGGCGTTACCTCGGTCTGAGGCGTTCCATTAAGGCTTGAAGTGCAAGCGAGAGCGCGCAACGAGCGACAAAGAGGCACATTGTAAAAAAAAATTACATAATTGTATATATGCGTACAAATAAATGTAACTTGATCAGTTCAGTAGTGATTTCCATTCACCTCCTCTATATTCATACAAAATATCTATCAAACAAATAAAATTAAAATTTTCATTTGAAAAATGAAACCATTCCATCAGTATTTTCTTATGACGTTGTCACGTTCAACTATCGTCAGTAAATCGACTTTACAGACAACCGATTTTTTTTAGTGTGATTTTATTATTTCAGGTACGATATTATGAGGGCTTGTTGGAACGCGAGTCCTCGTGACAGGCCTACGTTTCCAGAGTTGCACCAGAAGCTCGACGACCTGCTGCATAGTGCGTGTGCAAACGAATATATAACTCTGGAAGTGGATGTTGACGAAGCACCTTCAACGCCGAAACCGCAAAGATACATCAAAATGTTGATCAGGTTCGTCTCTGTTTGTGGATTTCAATTTAATTTGCGGTGAGAGGGTATTTTTCTAAGTGCCAGCCAGGCGTTTTGTGATCGAATATCACATGCATAGTAATTGATTCATCTCATCTTGAGACGCGTAATCGAAGCTTCAATTGTACCTTGAGATAAAGAATGCCCTATATTTCATCTTATTTTGTCTAGATTTGAACAGGCTGCGGTTTAGAAACAGTCGATTTTTTTTGTTTAGATGGGTGGACGAGCTCACAGCCCACCTGATGTTAAGTGGTTACTGGAGCCCATAGACATCTACAACGTAAATGCGCCACCCACCTTGAGACATAAGATCTAAGGTCTCAGGTATAGTTACAACGGCTGCCCCGCCCTTCGAACCGAAATGCATTACTGCTTCACGGCAGAAATAGGCAGGGTGGTGGTACCTACCCGCGCGGACTCTCAAGAGGTCCTACCATCAGTAAAAATGATTTTAATTCTTTACTTGTTTGTGCCCGTTTTCAAATTCTTTCATATAAACTGCCATCTATTAGCTTGTGGAGACTTTAAAAAAGGTTTGGTATTATTTCTACCAAGTATTTTGGCCGCCTTGAAATGTTGTAATATTGATTTCACCCGTTTTATTGTTGGCGACATAAGAGAGAAAAACGTAGGTACGACTATTCTAAAGTATTACACCGATTTTAAAATACATCTTATCTATTGATTTCATATAAATATAATTTTGTAGGTACCTATATTAAATATGTAGCAAACTAATTCTGTTTCAGGGGCAAATTACCTTGGAGTCGTGAAAGTTACGAACGTCCTGTGAATCCAACAAGCAATCTGTACTCTTCGCCGCCGGTCATACAAACTAAAACCGCATGACTTCTGAAACCGTGAACCTGACCAATTGAGAATTTGTCGTATGCAAGACATATAAGGACCCAATTAGTTCAAGTGTTTTTTGGAATCCTTTTTTTTGTACGGAATTTATAATAACACTTACCAAATTCGAAAAAAGACTAATGAATCCTTGAGAGAAACAAACAGACCAAAAATATGCTTGTTTTAGTCGAATGTAAAGAGCCATATTTTGAGCATTGTGTGTTGGTGTTGTAGTCCTAGGGTACCCCGCTGGTACATAGGGCCCTCACAAGTTGTCTCCACTTTACCCTGTCTTGCGCTTGCTCCTTGACATCACTCCAGGTCACGTTGGCAGTCCTCATCTCACTCTCTACGGTGCGTCGCCAAGTGTGTACAGGGCGACCAGGTCTTCTCCTGCCAAGCGGTTGCCACTCAAACGCGATTGATGCTGCGTTGACTCCGCTGCGCCGTAGTGTGTCCTATCCAACGCCATTTGCGATGAGCAATGTCTTGCGCGATGGGATTTTGGTCACATTTAGTCCAAAGGTCTTTATTATCTTTTGAGCATTAGCATAAACAAATCAAAATACAACCGATATTTTCAAAAAAACAGCTTTACTCGTTTAAAAAATCTAGTGCAATTATAAAACACTTCAATTCTATTTATTTACGTGTATTTATAGGTGACTTGGCCGTTGTACTTTGCATATTATATTAATAACTTACGTATTTACCCACTGATTAAATGACTCATCAGTATTGTAATTGACATGTAATTAATAATTTCTGTCCACTTTTCACAATTCCAACTGTCGCCAGATCATTGACGTTTTATTACTCAATCTTTAGTTGTTTAGAATAAGAACTTGAAAAGTGACAACATAACTGTACTTATTAAATTCTTAGAAACATGCGACAATTACTAGAGATTTTGTCCGTAATCAATTTGATAATTTGACAATAACTTTAGTACTACATCAATGCTTCTAAAGCTATACCTACGATATAATTATCTTTGTTTCTGAGATCGCTTTACCTCGTTTAAGATGTTTTTTTTAAGAAATCAACGGAACGAAAACACTATTTTTAATTAACTTTTTTTTTAAATATAATTGAATAGAAATATAAATTTTTTGGTACTATTAGGCTAAGAATGACGTGTGACGGTTTTTTTGACCGCTTCCCTTAATTAAGACAAGTAGAATAGTTCTGACAAGAGACCTTCTTCTTCCTCGTTACCTAAAAGTTACAAACATTTACTGACCCGGATTGCTCTAGCCAGCTCTAAAAATTAAAACACGAGAAAATATTACACCTTCGACTGTCATCGGAGGACTTGAATAGGAGAATTCAGTATCTATAGATTAAGATAAGGGCAGTAAGTAATAGTTACCTAAAACCAAACAATGCGAAATGAATGTGATACTGTTACCTTAATGTGATTGACTTAGTACTTTCTTCGATTTTCGCGATTCTTAGACATAATTAAAAGTACTTTTACGGACGATTGTAACCACGAAAATTGTGAAGTATTCTAAATATGTCGGAAATTATATAATGACAATAAAAAACGCAAGATTAAAGTATAATACTAGTCTTAACCCTTGGATTAACATGTAGGTCACCAGTACCCTACATGGCGCACTGAAGTAATTATGTCGATTTGTGTTGTGGCGTGCAACCTCTTTGACAGAACATAAGAGTCGACTATTATCAATGCCGGCATTGTGCCGGCAATGTGACTTTTGGACAATTATTGGTAAATCAGAAAAAAGAATTATTGACTTTGTATTTCATTGGCAGTCACAAAACTCTTCTGAACGACATCTTAGATAAATAGCAGGTTAAGTATTAACCTTTATTTAAGGCAGGTTTTGAACCGTATTCTTTGAAGGAGACGATTATAATCAAATCAATCTGTATTGACATATCAATAACATTTTTTTGTCCCAATGCACAGATTGCACCTTTGATAATAGACGACTCATAAGACCTACAACGACTAGACACAGATTAAGACACACACTTGACAAGAATTCAAAAATAAAGAGAGAAATCACAGATATCTATGAGAGAAATAGAACGAGGGCGTACGTGACTAGCGGCAGGCAGTACTTTTTTTGACTTCCTAAAAGACTGACTCGAACCAGACGACAAGGAACGAATTGACCGTTCTCATATATAGATAAAATAGACGACAAAAGAACTAACCGACCGTTCAAGTGGTCCTTCGACCGTTCAATTTGTTACTAACCGCTTAGATTTCTTAACTTTGCCTTCTTTTGTTTTTAATATAATATGGTTTTGTCGTTTAGAAGTAGATTCATTCTCAGTATCTCCGGATTCGTTTTTCCTAGAGTCTACTAGATATTCCGATGTCTTAGTAACAGAAATCAAGAGCATTACTTCAGTGCGTCACGTCCCCTAATTTATCTGTATTTTCTATGCACGTCCCTACGGGCATCAGTGACCCTAATGGCAGTCAAAGGGTTAATTGTATGATTCGACTCCTAATCACGTAAAGTATGTTCAAATAAGACCAAAACTATTGTCGTTTTTTTTTTTTTGTGTCGTGATATTGTAAGATTTAGGCTAATGGAACGTTACCTCGATTGTTTTTTACGTAAGATTACAAATAAAACTTTAAAATATGTTTTGTTTTCTTTCTATATACCTAAACGCACACCAGAAATTCGTATAAAACAAAAACAAGAAAATCGGACAAGGCTGATTGAATAATAATAAAAAAAAACAAATCATTTTGAAAACATTTTTTTTTTGTTTTTCGAACTCCCAGGGATCGTAGTCAGACTTTTGTACCTAATAGAATTCGCATCACTTCAAGGACGGGTGATGAAATCAAAACAACACATTTCATGATCCATACAATATATTAACTTCATGTTATATAATACAGTTTTATCTTATGAGCTAAATATAAAAATATCCGCCTCTATCATGCGGTGCCCACACAGCCTTACGGCGCCATTGTACATGTTCCGCATCAGGAAATTTTTATCATACAACACTAATTTATATCGATTACATACATAATTTCATTTCTTTACACGGTACTCTCCGTAAAAAATGAGTTAAGCTTTTGAATTTCTTAAGCGAATAGATTTTTTTTTAATAAACGATATCTTTATACCCTAAATGTCGACGTAAAAAAAATAGGTCCAAATTTAAGTATTTACTGTTTCAAATATCCTGTACGGCTTTGTTAAAAGAGACTTTAGTTTATTATTCAGTTTGTAGTCTCCTAGTAAGATACACTGAAATTTCCATTTACGTTAAAAAATCATAACATTTATTGATAATTGGTTGAAAAAAATCACCAAACCCACAATAGGTACTTATATAGTACTATACTCATTTAAACGAACGAAAAATAAATCATATTCTTCATCTAGCATGAAATAATACTCGTAAACGTAGCCATTACATAATCCTTGGCTTACAAAATTTAATTAGTTGGTAAGAAAACACTTTCATAACTCCATTTTAGAACGCATTGTTTATAACTCCGCCGACAAATTCCTTAGTCTATGATATGACGTAAAAACTTTTTTTCGTTTACTTCAAATACCACACGAAATTCGTAACTTTTTTTTTCTATATTCAAATCCGCATCTTTTTTAATATCTCATGATATTTTAAGTAGGCAAGCTCTAGCTTATACGAATAAGTTTTCGTTTAATTCAATTATTAATTACATAAAAATAAAATAAAAAGCCTTTTATTTCCTGCTAAAATACAAAGTAAATAGTTATTTAATGTTTATTTATCCTCACTAATGTTTGGCAGGAACCCATTAAACATGGCGAAGGCCTCCTCAAAGTCAGTTATTAATTAATTTAGTTATGGGGTCGCTAAAATCATCATTCGAGTTTACAGTCAATCATGCAAAAAAAATGAATTTAAAAAAAAAATTGTGTGTGTGTGTGCTAGTCACATAGGGTAGAAGTGAAACATATAAATAAGATATAGATATACTGACTATCCCACTGCACAGGAACATACATATGGACAATATCTAGTAGACGATAGTGGGGATGTTACGAAGAGTCGCACAAAGAGGAGACCGAGAACGTCTAATGTGTTCTATCTCATTCTCGCGCCGGCTGAATCCTATACATTTATGTGTTTGTGTCTCTATGGACTTATTTTTTCGTTTCATCGGGTTTGAAATCAAAACGATTCTAAAGAGGTTTCACTTCAAAAAAAGTTTTACATATGACGGCGTTTAAAATGAACACAATTTTTCAAATTTTTCAAAATTTCAAACCCCTATTCTTATGTAACCATAAGAATTAACACAGAACAGCGACCGTCGATAAGAAAATACTGAAAACCAAACAATCACCACTGTACACTGATCTTTTCAATATTGAATTAAATGCACAAGGTTTCAACGATATTGTGCATGAGACGTGTCCAAATTGACTGGCAGTGTTCACGATGCAGCGTCCACGTTTATCGGTGACCGCTTTGCATCATATCGAGGATTGAAAGACTATTTATTAAGGCGAAGTATTTGGTTTAAGCCGTTGTAACTATACTGAGACCTTAGAACTTAATCTCAAGGTGGGTGGCGCATTTACGTTGTAGATGTCAAAAGCAAAACAATCGACCCCTCTCATTGCCCTACTGGGAGTGGCTCGACAACTGGGCTCCGTCTAGTTGACACCTACGTTACAATCGCTGCGAGTGGTGACGCAAGTATATTAGCAATTGGAACCGACCTTAGTTCATACGACGCTATATAACCGAGAATTACCGGATCGGCCATGGTTGATTACGCTTTTGGAGAGGAGCGAATATACCGTTCCTACTGGGATAATGGACGCAAGCCTTTTACAATAATTGCGGAAGGTTCAAGCATCCCGGCACACCTTGAGAAATACAAGAGTGAGATTAGAATAGGCGAAGATATTCAGGGACTGAATGCCTGGGACAAGATTCTTGAAACCAGGGAGATATGACACCTTCGACATCTCGAGATGCGTCGCAGATGGATTCGAAATATATAGATATAGGGAACTAAAAACGGTTCCCTTAAATGAAATGAAATTAAATATTATATATATTCAAAACGTTCACTCGGCTGCTTTGTAATCAAACTTTACTTCATATTTCCCACTAAAATTACTACTAGGTTCCTAAACGGATCCTCATGTTCGTTAGAATTTCTTAATTTATATCTAAGCGGTATAAAAGTGCGAATTCTACTATCACATTAGTTTAATACGTGATTGAAAAAAAAAAAAAAAATTGCATTTTTTATGATAGAATCTGATTTAAGCGATTTAAAGATAAAATGATCTTATTTTTTAATTAACAGCATGTACGTAGAATCGAGCACAATTTGTTTTTTTTTACTATCTATTGAAGAACCATAGGCAATCATTACATTAAACCATAGACAATTTTGTTTCAATTCTCATGTTTTCTTTATTGCTTTTTAGGCAAACGAGAATACGGCCCACACAATACTTTATGAAATGATATTCTAATTTAAAAAAAAGTTGAACATAAAATATATTAAAGTTATGACGGTAACTTTATAATTTTTCAAACAAACACAATTTTCAACAAACATAAGTATTGAGTGATATACTTCATTAAGATTAACGATTTTTAGGAATGATTTCTTTTTTGTTTTTGAATCGAGAGATCAATTATTTTTAAACAACACAATAATTTTCTTTTTACAAGTTACTAGTCATGCAATTAATTCTCTTAAAGATTTAAAAAATAAAAACTTAACATTATTGCAAAACGAAACCTTTGGCTGGTAATACTTTATTCCATTGAAAAAGCTATTATTATTATTATATTGAGATTAATATTTTTTTCTTCATTAATAATACAATTAGGGTTACTTTAATTTAGAACACGTTCAATAGATCTTAAACTTGTTTGAATTCTTTTATTAGTACTTCTGATGTTTCTGAAGCGTGCCCGTAAATTGTTCCTTTTTAATAATATGGAAAGGTCGCCTAAAAACTATCGCCATTATTTAAACATAATCTATTAAATTCAAGGCGTAGTAGGTAAATATTCACTGTTATGACTTGATGTTGAACTAATAATTTAGATGCATTTATTACATTATTTTTTATTGTTTAGAAGGGTGACATTATGTTTATATTGAATTTATGTATATATATTGTCTTTCGTATAGTTCCCAGCTATTGCGAAGATCGGCACTAATTAAGAATAACTAAATCTACCATCCGGATAATTAAATCCGAGACGGCCGCAGTTGCCAGCACTGATAAATAAATAATTTCTCATGGCATTAATATTAAATACTTTAGCAGACTGTTTTCATTCGATAAACTTGGGTTGCATCTAGGCTTCATCTGTTTATTTTTTTGCAATCTGTTAAAATAATTTAATATATTGCGTGTGTATGTTTTTTTAAATCTTATCCATTTTCAAATATACGGTTATGAATGTATACTTTTTTTTTTATGAAATTTTTATAATAGTATTTATGACCAGGTAATTTAATAGTTATAGAGTTAGTAAAGCTCGTATTATTTCAATTTACTCGATAAAGAGCAGTCACTGGGATTTAGACATACAGTAGAATATGTATTTTAGGATTTTATTAATACGATACGGATACGTTAATTTGAAGACAACTAACTCTGAAATTTTCTATTCCATTTCGATGAAAAGTCATCAGATTTCAAGGAGTTCAGATAATTCTCAAAGGCGCGGGTCGCTTCGTGAAAACCGTCGCCCGTGGACATCAGTAATGCCAGGGGCTGATTGCTGAGGACGCTCATCGACCCTCGTTTGAAGAAGTACATGCCACACTCGCTCTCATACATTACTTTATATGTATGACGTAGTAGCGGCTAATGGGGAGTTCACCAGTCTTGTTACGTGGTAGGAACATCGAACGAACATTGTTAACGAAATATATTTTTTTTAATACGCAATGTACTACAAACTGTTTTGACTCCATTGAACGCTAATAAGGCGAATTTCTTATGCAAGACTAAATGTTGCAAGATTGTATTAACGTTGACCGAGCTATGTACACACTATTTCGTTTTATCAATCTCGATTAAAATTATTAAAATGGTTTTATGATTTTTTAATGAACAGTACATGTTACAGTATTAATTACATAATATTTAAGTCTCATTAATAGTATTTATTTCAAATGCTTTCTTATCATTGTTCAATTCGTGCGATTAAAACGTGTAACTGATTGATAACTTAAATATAGTTTATAGGCCATTATACAAAAACTTCATATTTCAATGTTTTTTGTTGTGAAATACTGTCCTTTCTATATTTATTCGTAGAAAATAGAATGAAGTATATTGATGTTCTGTCAGAATGATTCTCAATTCATAGATAAATATACTTTAATCTAGTATCATTCGTTTTGTTTTTATGAAATTATGGGAAAGGAAATTATAGCCACTTGTGACGTCAGAGGACAGATCCAAGCGGTGACACTAATATTTTTTTAACATATAACAAATTAATATTGGTTATATTAATATATATATTAATTATATAATTATATATATTAATAATGGTTTTAATTATTGGGAATCTATCTATGAAGTAAAAATAATTCCGTAAAGTTATCAACATCGCTAGTGTTGCAGTTTTGTTGTCGTCTGTACGCGGTAGAGAGCGACGTACGTGAGCGCGGGCGGAGTCGCCGGTCAGTCGATGGGGGGCGGCTGCGCCGGGATGTTGAGCGGCGGCGCCGTCAGGTAGCCGGCCGAGTGCGGAGCTGCTGCGGACGAAACCATTTATTCATACACGGTCAATTGGAGACAACTTGCGAGGGCCCTACGTACCAGTGTGATACCCTAGGAGTACAATAACAGCAATTTATTTATTTTTAAGCGAATTTAAAAAGAATAACCTCTTCAACTGTATTATTCTTTAAGTTTATACTAGTATGTTAAACGTTTTTTGTGTATTTGGAAATGTTTTTTTTTTTTTTATTTACCGTCGAACTAGTTTAATTGTTATACTGTAGATAACATTAAAGTATATACAATTCTGCAGCTAATCATATTAAAAAATTGCAATTTGTTTGTTTTTTTGAACTGGAGGTCGTACCTCCTACGAAGTCCCCGCACCTAGGGGGCGCGCGGGGTATGTGGAAATTAACTATCTGCAGATATTGGCAGCAGAACGCGGGCCCATGGAAGTTTTTAAGACTCTACCGCACTAAACAACTCCTCTGCACTCTTCCGATCTTCGCTCGGGGTCAGAACCCGGTCAGAGTAGGGGGGTTACCGCGGTCAACACTACAACCAGACTCGCGGCGCCACTCCGAGGACGCCCGACCGACGGGTCGTCGAGGCGATAGTCGACGACCAACGACGCCGATTTCACCGGTGTGTGAGTGTAACTTAATTTACATGTGTTCATCCGCGTACAGACATCGCAAGGCGTGCGTCGCGAATGCTTCGTCTGGCATGCCTCGGGCTGTGTTGACGTGTGTGCTCACAGTGACATTCGCGTAATACGATCGTTGCGAGTACCGTCTCACTACGAATCGTTCTTTTCTCTTTTATAGGCCGCAGTTGCAATCTGCACGTCTCGCCTTGTCGGAGCCATTTTTCTATTGAAGAGCACCGTGCGTAGTAATGTGCGTGCTTATTTTGAGCGTATATCGTTCGCGACGTCTGTACGCGGCTTCATGAATCTACTAGTCGGTTTGAGGGTTAGTCGTGTACCGGCGATGGAGTGTCGGTCGGGGGGCGCGATGAAGAGGTCGTGCCTCTGCGCGGAGTACTGCGGCCAGACGGCGCAGGCGGCGAGCGCGGCCCGCACCCGCTGTCCGTGCGCCGGCGAGCGCGCCATGCCCTGCAGCGCCGCCACCAGCCGCGCCGCGCACCCGCCCTCCACGCGCGACTCCAGCAGCGACAGCAGCGAGCTCACCAGAGAGCATTCCAGTGCCTGCCGACAACACGCACTGCACACATATCGGATGAGACGCGAACGTTAATAGTAGCATGGAATTTTACTGATATTTTTACATGTCCTTCTTTAATAGAGGCTTGTGGTGAGTATTAAGCAGTAGGCAGCGGCCTGGTTCTGCCTCTGGCATTGCTGAGGTCCATGGGCGACGGTAACCGCTCACCATCAGGTGGGCCGTATGCTCGTCTGCCTACAAGGCCAATAAAAAAAACTTTATCTTTATTTAATTAATCCGCAATGTAACGCGAAATCTACTATAGTAGAATTATTTTGTCCGTGTAGTTTGGGTCATAAAACATAGCCAGGCTAGGGCGGTGAGCATGTTGCACGGGCGTAACGCCATTATCGATAAAAACAAATGAGTCATCGAAGGCAGGTACACGGCGGCGGGGCGGTATACAAAGGGTGGTGAGACATTGTTATGTTATGAGTCATTTGTTGTACCTACCTGCAAATTGTAGTACATATGTTGAAGAGAAATGTGTTTTATGCATTCGCTCTCTGAATTTCTTTAGTGACACAATGGCTACTCCTTTGTTTTGTACCAAAACGGCAGAATTTATTCGGTTTCACGGCAGAAATAGGCAGGGTGGTGGTATTTACCCGTGCGGACTCACAAGACATCCTACCACCAGTAAAACTGCGACATATACATATTCCAAACAACAGATCCGGTTTATGGACCGGAGAGTGCTCCAAGCGGCTCCTTGGGGTGGAGGGGGACGCTTCGGTACCTGCAGCACGAGGCGGTCCGTGTTGACGTTGCTGCTGAATATGGAGGAGAGCGTCTCGCACGCGGAGCCCACCACCTCGGGACACGACTTCACGGCGGTCTTCATGCCGATCATTATGTCGGTCTGGGTCAGCGCCATCACACACGCCTGAAAAAATAACACACGAATCTTTGGTAAAACGACTTTTTTTGAAGGTTGTGAACTGGAAGGTATAGCAAGAAGGACGAGGACGCCAGGACCTTGGATGAACCTGTGATCGGTCTTTCGACTAATGATGGGAAAGCTTTACGACTCAGAGAATTGTATTTTTTTCTCCTCTCTACGTTCTTGTTGTGATGCTAATGTCATCGTTACGACTTTTTTTAATATATTTTTTATTGCCTTATAGGCAGACGAGCATTCGGCATGCCTGATGGTGAGTGGTTACCGTCGCTCATCACAAGCCTCAGTTTGAAGAAGGACATGTCATAGCGCTCGGGAAACACCGTAGAGGGGAGCTCATTCCATAGCTGGATGGTACGTGACAAAAAAGATCTCTGGAAACGCACTATGGACCTCAAAATACAGCCGAGAATTCAATGACACACAGTCGGAGCAATTATGAAGACTCCACATTCTCAGCGAGCGTGGAGTACCTGCGTGTCTGCGACGGCGGCCAGCACGGGGACGATGTGCAGAGGGCAGGAGGGCAGCATGTTGGTGAGGCGCGGCAGCTCGCCCAGCTGCGCGCAGGCCTCGCTGAGCGCGGGCCGGGACCGCAGCAGCACCACCAGCGCCTGCGCGCACAACTCTCCTCTGCTGCCCTGTACGCACACGATAATAGAAGAAATCGTAGTTAGCTCTCGAAGCCTTTTAAGTTACTAGCTGTACCCGTCCGCTTCGCTGGGCATTTAAAATTAACATTATTATCTCTCATCCCCACAAAGATTGTCATCATTAACGCCCTTGCAACTGGTGTAGGGAGTCCAGTACTCATGTAAATATTAGGCTAACAAATGGAGAAACACACACAATCTAGCACAGTGGAATAAGAGTATAAAAAAGAAGATAAGTTTTAGAACTCACTGTTTTAACGTACTTTGTTAAGTTTGTGTTTTTTTTAAAATTTAAATAACACACATTCAAACGATATTGCAAATATCTGTGCTCATGACACATTTCAACACTAGACAACACTGTTGAAAAGACGAAAACAAATTGCTAATTTCAACTACATATTTTCAGTTACATAGTGTAAATATTAAAGACAAGGTCCAAGTCACAAAAGCGCACAGCTGTACCTGTGAGGAGTCCTTCTGTAAGGCGGCGACGGTCTCCGCGAGCAGGTCCTGCAGGAACCGCTTGGGGCTGCGCAGGTTCCAGGAGGGGTGCTGCAGATAGAGCTTGAGGTACACCCCGCCCACCAGCACCTCGCCGGGCGGCGCCCAGGCCTGCTCGCCCGCCGCCACCTCGCGGTCCTCGAACGTCGCGTTCGGGTCGCGGGCTTGTCTCGCTTGATGTCTGTATATAATGTTATGGCCTCCATTGAATCAAATTAATTCCACTGGAGTGGAGACCTCGTACTAGACGTCGACCGATGACCTGGTTAAAGTGGTTGGTAGGGACTGGATGCGAAAGGCAAGAGACCGAAAAGAAGGGGTACATTCGATAAGACCTGCACTCAGCATTGGGTGGACACGGGTTGAAGAAGAATAACTGTCCCTACCCTATGTAAGCAACATGAAAAGTTTTTTTTTATTATTGAAGGATTACTGTTGGCCCTGAGGCCTTTCCAGTTTCACCAGGACAGCTGGGCGAGCAAAGGCTCAGCCAGGAGGGGTGGGATTTGCTAACGGCTGCCCGAGCGCCTCCGAAGGAAACCTAACAACTCAAGAGCAGTTGCTTCGCGAATGAATCTGCTATCGGATCGGAATCGCGACCCGCTGAGGAGATCCGCGAGAAACTCGGCGAGCTGATGCATGAGTTAGGTAACATGAAAACTATTTTGAACGACGCCTCAGTGCTAAAATCAGAGGATCGATTAGATATGACTCGATAAAATTGTTAACATAAGGAATCTTGTAGCAAAGAACGGTTTGTGGCGCGTTATTTGATGCCACTTCGATAAAGCGGCACGACACGAGAACCCTCTCATCGCGGCCGCCGGTAACTATATTCCCGATTCCTGCGGACAGAATGGAAAGCAGTCGACGTCGCCCCAAACACGTCATTTCGGATCCTCCAGATCCACTAACGGTGCTTTTAGGTACCTCAAGCATCGGTCATCATTCTCGTCGAGCCCTTCGTCGCAAGTAAATTAACCCTCAGACACAGCCCACTGAGTTTCTCACCGGATCTTCTCAGTGGGTCGCGTTTCCGATCCGGCGGTAGATTCTGCGAAGCACGGCTCTTGCTAGGGTTCGTGTTAGCAACGTCGTCAGGTTTGAGCCCCGTGAGCTCACCTACTAGTTAAGGTTACGCTGAAATAGCCTCTCAAGGCTCTCAGCTAGGTAGGAAAGTGGCGATGTAAGTATCGGTACCTGTCTTTGAGTAGCGTGATGTGTTCGGCGAGTCGCTGCCTCACGTCATCGCTCCACACGAGCTCGGGGTGCTCGTGCGCGGCGTCGTACATGTGCACGGCGCTGGCGGGGCCCGACTCGCGCATCGCCTCCGCGAACACGCCCGGCACGTACCGAGATATAGCCAAGCGGACCTGAACACAATATCGTTCCGTACTATACTTGTCACGAACGTTGTGTGTGGCAAAAAGTACTGAGGGAAGACATTTAAAAAAAAAAAACGTTGTTTACAAACTCAACACATTTGTCTTGTTTAGTCGTGCTCACGTGGTCAAATTTCTTATTTGTTGTTATTTACTAATTTCCTAATGTAATGTGTATTGTGTGCCCAATAAATAAAAATAATAATTTACTAAATCGATAAATCGAATCGATAATCGAATATACAGAGACAAATCGCGCGTCGTAATCTCAGCACTAGCATTCCCAGCACTACGGAAACCAGAGATTGATGTGCAACAAGTCATTTTATATTCAGTTGTACAGATATCAAACACGGCCACAGAGAGCAAATAAACTTCGACCCGGCAATTAGGGTCGCTAAAAACTAATAGCCTTTTAATTTATTGGATTAACATAAATAAATATTAAACATGATTGCATGGTTTCGGTGTGTGTACGATAAAAGATGAATTTATTTAATATTATGTTGTCCTGTTTGTACTATTTACTATACAAGATCAATCACGCTTTATAAATAAACTCCAGTCGTGAGTTGAATCTGACACGCACACTTATTTTATTAATTATCAAAATGTAATGAATAGGTTGCAAAAGTTAAATTGTAATAAATTTACACAATTTATTACAATTTTCTTTTCTAAAGTATCTTTTTTTTTATTGCCCTTGTAGGAAGACGAGCATACGGCCCACCTGATGGTGAGTGGTTACCGTCCCCAAGGACTTCAGCAATACCAGGGGCAGAGCCAAGCCGCTGCCTACCGCAAAATACCGCGTATCTTGAATTTTCTAAGCAGTTTTCACCTTAGGTCCGTGTAATTTGTCAGCCATCATCCTCGCTAAGAGTTCGACGGCGGCTTCACGCGTCTCTGGCGCTTTACTGTTGCAGAACAGATCCAGTAGGTATATCACGGCACCTGGAGACACGGATAAACGATGGTTCACAACGCGGACAGTGGTTCAAAATTTATATTGTTACTAGCTGACCCGGCAAACGTTGTTTTGCCATATATATAAGATTCCTAGAGAATTTCTAGTGTAGAAAAAAAAAGTTATTGTAAGTGTGTAGGTGAGTGAAAGAGGCATGTAGTGCTGTGAACGATGAGGGAATCTAATAAAAATAACAAAACCTCATTCAACCACATAATGCCTCATTATAACAAAAAAAAGAATTGTCCAAGAAATAAAAAAAATAATAATAGGGGTGGACAATCCTTATCACTTAGAGGTATGAAAAATAGATAGTAGCCGATTCTCGGACCTACTGAACATGCATATAAAATTTCATAAAAATCGGTCAAACCGTTTCAGAGGAGTGTGGTAACTAACATTGTGACATGAGAATTTTGTATATAAGATCTTTATAGGCTCTAACTTACGATAACAGATGGTAACTACCCAATACATTAAAAGCTACTTATTCGCGCTTTTTTCGTTCGCGTGTTCACTATTCGCGGATCTGATCGGTACATCGGTACATACACATTGATAAAAAGGATACCAATATGTAGGTATCCCATCAAATATCCTTTGTAAATGCGTCGTCAAATGAACTAATAAAAAAGTAAAATAAACCTTATTATTACAACTATGCCTAAAGTATGTTTTTATTTTGTCACCTACGAATGTATCTCCTATAATGCCATTTAAGTAAATTAGCATTGGTGTGGTATATGGACATGTGATGCGTAGAGAGAAGATGCATGTGACTAGAAGATGTATGCTAATGGTAGTGCAAGGTAGAGGGGGAAGAGGTCGATCGAATGGAGTGTGTGAATGACGATATGAGAGAGAAAGAAGTGAGTGTTGAGATGACGGCTGATAGAAGAGAAAGGAAGAGAAAAAATAACTGTGCCGACTCCACCTAGTAGGATAAGGTGGAAAAAAAGAAGAGATGTAAATTACCATTCCATATTCACGGCTTCTGTATCGATATGCCACGAATAAAGAGCGTTTATTATAACGCGTGGACGGTGAGGCATCGTTCCTGCCTTTTTTTATTGCATAGATAGGTGGACGAGCTCATAGCCCACCTGGTGTTAAGTGGTTACTAGAGCCCATAGACATCTACAACGCAAATGCCGCCACCCACCTTGAGATATGAGTTCTAAGGTCTCAGTATAGTTACAACGGCTGCCCCACCCTTCAAACCGAAATTCATTACAGCTTCACGGCAGAAATAGGCAGGGCGGTGATGGCACCTACGTGCACGGACTCACAAGAGGTCCTATCATCAGTAAATTCGTTTGCCTTACATTGTGTGGTTCAGAAATAATCCAGACTAGAAATAAAAAAGAACCCAGTTCTAGCCCCAGCTAAAAACATACTTTAGGCATAGTTGTAATAGACCTTATTATGTATTATATGTTTTTATTTTGTCACCTAGGAACGTATCCCCTATAATAATCCCATTATATGTAAATAAGTTACCATTCCATATTCCCGGCTTCTGTATTCGAATGTTCTGTACCTTTGTTGAGCGCCTCCTTGACGAGCGCGGTGTTGGCGAGCAGCGCGGCGAGCGCGGGCAGCGCGTCCGGGCGCGGCGGGCGCTCGGGCAGCGCGGCGAGCAGGTGCCCGAGCACGCAGCTGGCGGCGATGTCGTCCACGCACTCGCGCGTGCCGGCCGCCGCGCGCACCGTCCGCAGCGCAGCGTCCTGTAGTCGCGGCCGCCCGCGCCCCGACAACATGCCGAATATCAAACCGAACTGACCGATGCAGTTTATTTCGACGCCTGAAACAAATAAAATAATAGTATAATGCACCCCTTGTGGCAATAGCCATCATCATACAACTCAAGATATTTAACAAATGCCTGAATCTCGCTTACGACATTTTCAAGACAAGCTTACATATATACAAGTTCCGAACAACAACATTCGGACCGTCGGTCTACCGAGCAATATCACCCACTCGGTGGAAGATCTTCCCTTTTTCGTCTAAACCTCCTCAAGCCCCATGGGAAAAAAAATCTTTTCAAGTCGACAAACGTGATCTGAGGTTTACTTTTTTTACTTTCCAAGGGCTGTTATACTATTTTTTTGTCCCACAAAGGCGGAAAGCGGCAACTTCGTTTAGCGCAGCGGGACGAAAGTTGCCACTTTCCGCCCAGAGGAGAAAAAACCTCTTTTGTAAAATCATATACGAAGCAAAAACTTATTTGTTTAAAAAATATATTTTAAGATGTTACTTAATAAAAACTGAAAATTCGAATTTTAATCAACTTCTATAAAATATATTTTAAAATTATAACATCATTCTCCTGTCCTTCTCCTAGTCACCTGGGGTCGGCGCAACATATTTTCTCCTTCCATACTCCTCTATCATATACCATTTCTTCGCTCACTCCCCTCTTACACATATCGTCTTTCACGCAATCCATCCATTTCTTCTTAGGTCTACCTCTTCCTCTATATCCTTCCACGTTCATAGTTAACACTCACTTACTAACCTCATTTTAATTTCGTCTCATCACATATTCATACCATACCAAACGCACACTTCTCAACTTCTCTGTCACAGGTGCCACTTTCAGACTGAATCTAAAACATATATTAAAAATTTATCACAATTTTTTTTTTTTTTTTATTGCTTAGATGGGTGTACGAGCACACAGCCCACCTGTTGTTAAGTGGTTACTGGAGCCCATAGACATCTACAATGTAAATGCGCCACCCACCCTGAGATATAAGTTCTAACGTCTCAGTATAGTTACAACGGCTGCCCTACCCTTCAAACCGAAACGCATTACTGCTTCACGGCAGAAATAGGCGGGGTGGTGGTACCTACCCGTGCGGACTCACAAGAGGTCCTACCACTAGTAAAGTTAAAACACAAATAGGCAATGTTGCGAATATATTGTGAATACCTGGATTTTTAATAATGACATTAGCGAGAGCTGTCAAAGCATGTGTTATGTGCTCTACTCGCTCCAAGGTCATGTCGCCTTTAACTTCTTCCCGAACGAATTTCAGCAGATCCAATATGAACTGTTGTGGGTTCTGAAAATTAAAATATTATAATAATAAAATACACCTTTTTAATTATATTATTCAAAGAAAAAAGCAAGATGACAAACAAAAAAATTTAAGTTATTTAAAAAAAAATAAAAAAAATAGTACATATTTAAATTTAAATCTCAAAGAAAAGTGTGATTAAAAAATAAACATGTTTCGATTTAGAATTATAATGGAACATCGACATTTAATATGCAATTATTATCTTTTCATTTCCATAAAGGTGATTTTTACTTTTTTTTCGTTTTACCTTTTTATTTAACACATTCAAAAGAAATCATAGAAGATATTTACTTCATAATTAATAATACAACCATAATTTCCTACTTTATGAATTAATTTCATAACCGGCGACGAATCACACAAGGTCATCTGGTCCCAAACTAGGATTCATTATTACTATTGGAACTGAAGACTGATATACATACGTTTAAATATATACATAATATGTATATAGATACCATACATTTAGACAAAGAGCTAACAAAACTGTTCGAATCTACGACCGTGGACCCAACAGTGGAGCTGAGCATCAGTGCTAGTAATGTTCCAGTCATCGTTCTCGCCAAACCCGTCGCTTGCGACGAAGGGCTCGACGAGTAAATTAACCCTCAGACACAGCCCACTGAGTTTCCCGCCGGATCTTCTCAGTGGGTCGCGTTTCCGATCCGGTGGTAGATTCTGCGAAGCACTGCTCTTGCTAGGGTTCGTGTTAGCATCGTCGTCAGGTTTGAGCCCCGTGAGCTCACCTACGAGTTAAGGTTACGCTGAAATAGCCTCTCAAGGCTCTCAGCTTAGGTAGGAAATATATATATATATATATATATATATATAATAGTAATCCGCACATACGTACTTACCTCAATAGGAAAGTCAGGCTGTTCGTTGTATATGTCAATGTATACTCCACCGACCGACAGAAGGCCCGCGTGTGCCGAGTACGTGAAGGGCGCTATCAGCGGCCCCTCCTCCTCGTAGTTGGCCCTGGTGTTCTGCAGCACGTCTTGTAATTCGGCTCGCGTGCTGTTGTCCCACACCAGGTACGGAGTGTGCCAGTTCGACGTTAGAGTCTTGAGGAGCTGGAAGCGAAATCAAAACTAAGCACTCTGTGCGTCGTATTCCTCAGTGCTGAGGGTCGTGACCTTTAAGGAGCACTTTTGTTAAGACTATGTTCCTCCATTCATTCGTGTCCTCCGCGCAGTAGATAGCGGCATTGATGCTGGAGTCCAAAGTCGTCTTAATCTGATCGAACCAGCGCACGGGACTACTAACTAAGCACTATCCAATAGTATGTATATAGAGTATAAATATTATTTTATTTTTATTTATTTATTTATGTACACACAGAAAAAAAGACATTGTACAGAGTAATAGGAAAATTATGTACAAAGGCACATATTGTGACGCCGGTAAGAGTAACGCCTTCTATCGGCGAATAGTCGAACGAATATCGAAGGATCTAGTAGCACCTAGAACGCTCGAGAAGTATTGTACGTAACGCCATCTATTGTCAGATAGCGGAAACACAATACTAGAGATGTATCGACTATAAAAGCGTTGCAGAGATGGCACGCGGTCAGTTATTAAGCGGAATTATTCGAAGCGAAACAGCGAACAGATCACCTGAAGCGAAGCGAAAAAAGCGAATTGAGAATTTTAAAGTGTTTGTTGAGTGTTTTAGTGTGTTGTGTGTGAATACAGTTTTACATTAGTAATTCGGTAGAACTTTTATTTATCCCGAACCCCAGCGCGTAACAATATGTAGGATGGGTAAGAACGGAACGTATGAAAAAAGTGTAGAACGGAGCGTTAAGATGTGAGTGAGAGAAAACGGTAAGAAAGGGATAAGAGAATGACAGAAAAAAGGAAGACGGTTAAATGCGAAAGGTGTAAAAAGGTCTCAATTAATTTTTAATTATTATAATAAAGAATATTTTGGAATAGAAGAGTAAAAGTGCAACAGTATTGAATATTAAAGATAGAATATAGAAAAGAAGGGTAAGTGTTAGATCATAAAAAAAATCTTCTGGATCAATAGTTTTTAGCCGACTTTAAAAAATGGGAGGGCTTATCAATTCAACTATATTTTTATGTGTTACCTCAGAACTATTTACTAAATGAACCGATTGTAATGATTGTTTGTTTGAGCTGGCCTTTGTGATGTGGTTTAGTTTTAACAAGGATCTAGTTTTTGAATCACTTCGAATACATTAATGATATTATCAATTTTTATCACTGAAATTGGTTATTTTTATTGCTTAGATAATTTAACGAGCTCACGGCCCACCTGGTGTTAAGTGGTCACCGAAGCTCGTGGATGACAACAATATAAGTGCTGCCACCCACCTTGAGAGATAAGTTCGAAGTCTCAATCTTTACAGTACAACGGCTGCTCCACTTTTCAAACCGAAACGCATTACTGCTTGATGTAAGAAATAGGCAAGTTGGTGGTTTATAATTTTTGCGGGTTTGATTTTTATTACACGATGTTACTCTTTCACTGTGGGAGTCATTAGTGAACATTTGTGAAGTACGTATTTCATTAGAAAAAAATTGTATCTGCTAGCGAGATTCGAACACCGGCACACTAGCACCGGTCGATACGAATGCACCGGCCGTCTTATCCTTTAGGCCACGACTTCTATTTCAGTTAAGATGTTACAATAACAATAATGATATCGACGCTTGAAAGGTAACCGTGACTAAGCGACAATGCGTGAAATTTACAGTAGACTAATATAAAGTTAAAATACCTGAAAAAAATTATATTTTAACGAATCTAGCTGTAGGATTGAAATGATTTTAATAGACCTAGACACATATATTTTTTGCGCATCGAATATGGTTATTGCCTATCATTTATGTACAAAGCAGTTATTGTCGCTTAGTCACGTTTGCCTTTCAAGCGTCGATATGGATTGACAGAGTTCCGCGTGCCTCGTGCTGGTCGGGCTCGGCGAGTCTCCCGCAGAGGTGCGGGGTCAGCAGCACGTGCAGCGCGTCGCGGATGCGCTCGTCGTCCGGCGCCGGCTCCTCGTGCGGCCCGTACATCGCCGCCAAGGCTATCACGCACTTCTTCGCTAGTTGATTCGATATCTCCTGTTTTAATTAATAATTTTAGTTATTTCAATTTAAACTTAAAAATCAATAAAATTAAAAACTATTCTTGCTTGCCATAAAACACGCCTGGATAATTTATCACTTTAACACCACAAAAACAAATGATTAAGAAAGTTAGATAAATCTCATTTCAAAACATTAACAAGATTTCTTATTACAGCAAAACTTACGATTTGTTTCGAATTATTTTTTATTTTTTGTGACACCGAATTTAGGTATTCGTTTATATTTGGCGTGTACTACACTTTTTTTTTAATTACTTATATGGGTAAATTTGAGACACTAAAGATCAGTGATAATTCTATTGTACGTATAACATCTACCATATATTTCAATCCGGAACACATGACTTATTCGCGTCGGAATGAAGGCCATGGTATCTACCCATGCAGACTCACATTACGTCCCATCACTAGTAAATAATCGCAACTATCATAACCAAATAACGCTTCTCCGATTTTTTTATTGCTTAGATGGGTGGATGAGCTCACAGTCCACCTGGTGTTAAGTTATTACTGGATCCCATAGACATGTACAACGTAAATGCGTCATCCACCTTGAGATATAAGTTCTTAGGTCTCAGTATAGTTACAACAGCTGCTCCGTTGGCCCTTCAAACTGAAACGCATTACTGCTTCACGGCAGAAATAAGCAGGATGGTCGTACCTACTTGAACGGTCGAAGTCTAGTTGAATGGTCAATTTGTTCTTTTGTCGACTATTTTTATATGTATATGAGAACGGTCGGTTCATTCTTTTTCGTCTTTGTGTCCGTCTTTAAGGAAGTCAAAAAATGTACCGCGTGCCGCTGGTCAGGTACGCTCCCTCGTTCCATTTCTTTTCGAATTCTTGTCAAGTCTCTGTCTAAGTCTGTCTCTATGTCTAGTCGCTGTAGGTTTTATGTCCTGTCAAAGAGGTTGCACGCCACGACACTGCCCGTGCGGACTCACAAGAGGTCCTACCACCAGTAAGCCGACTAATCCCCCTCCACGAATCGCGGTCGCTGAGCTGAGAGAGGCGCGCACCTGTTTGTTGGCCTTGACGTCGGTGTCGAGGCCGGACTCGGCGAGCGTGTAGTCGTACTGCAGCGCGGCGGGCAGCAGCGCGTGCAGCAGGCCGGCGCGCGCGAACTGCGCCCGGCACCGCGCGTCCGCCGCCAGCGCGCCCGCCGCCTCCGCGCCCGCGCACGCTGTGTCCCCCAGGTTCTACGACATCGATCGCTTATGAATTACTTACTTCGAGAATAAAGGCTCAGATACATTGTTATTACAGTTTTTACTTTTTTTTTATTCCTACCTAAAGTAAGGCCAACCAGACGAGATAAAAAATGTAAACAAAGTTTCAGAAGTAAAAAACATTTTTATTTAAATAAATTATTACAAAGTTCGAATTTTAATCGCTGTCATCTGTACTAGACAAAGATGATTCGTCGGAAGAGTCCGAGTCAGCTGTGTTTATGATAAAACTATCTATTGTATTATCAATCATGTTGTCAATATTGCTATAAAAATTGTCCTCGACTTTTATAACATGATCCACGCAATCCAAACAGGAATGAACTTGTTCACAAAATGGCGGACCAAATGTTGACAACTGCGGTACTCAGTGCTTTCCTGTACCAGAAAACACACAACGACAGCTGTTGTCGACCAACTGACGCCATAACTGCGCGTACGAGTGATAAGGGCAGAGATAATAATCCCTCGCTATCGCAATGTAACTCAGTAACGGTAAGCTTGTTTACGTTTATTATCTCGTCTGGTTGGCCTAAGTTTATGCTGATAGCCTTGAGAGGCTATTTCAGCTTCTTGAGGTATGGGTGAGCTCACGGGGCTGAAAGCGGAGGGTTGCTAACACTGACCCTAGCAAGAGCAGTAGTTCGCAGAATCTACCACCGGATCGGAAACGCGAACCACTCAGAAGATTCGGCGAAAAACTCAATGGGCTATGTCTATGGGTTAATGGGTTAATGGGTTTTTACTAAATCCTAGACAGTGCAATGCAAAATAATATTTCATTATAATGTCATTAACGAAATCCCTCAACTACTAGTACTTAATTTTCCTATTATCCGTCTGGAGCAGTAGTTCTTTGTGCATTAATTGGACATATGATGCCATACCGACTGTATATAGATCTCTTTACAAATAGGTTTTGGTGTCTGTCGGCACACATATCTATCCGGTGTTGGCTGACGTCATCAACTACTACAAATTGAAAGTAGTGAGGCCACAAATAAACCTGTAAATACCGGTCGTTTGAGTAGCGGCACGATGTCCATGCAGAGCTGCGTCATGAGGGCGCAGCGCTCGCGGCAGGCCGGGAACGTGGCGGCCACGGCGAAGCAGCGCGCGCAGTGTGCGCACACCGCCGCCAGCGGGTCCTGCGCCGACGTCGCCGAGCCCAGCAGCGGCACGCACCGGGCCAGCGCCTCTTGTAAAACCTGAACAACAAATCGACATTCTCTTTATGATTTAGTTCTACGAGCTCACAGCCCACCTGATGTTAAGTGGTTACTGGAGCCCATAGACATCCACAACATAAATGTCGCCACCCAAGGTCTCAGTATAGTTACAACGGCTGCCTCACCCCTTAAACCGAAATGCATTACTGCTTCGCGGCAGAAACAAGCAGGGCGGTGGTACCTACCCATGCAGACTCGCAAGAAGTCCTACCACCAGTTTTCTTAAGGCATGCGATTTCTGTGAGGCTGGACCAGATTTGTACCGCTCATCCGTTTCGGATTGAAGGTAGCATAGCTGTGAGTAATTTGGCACAATTCCGTTTTTCATACACTAAGCCGACATATGTTTTTACGACGACTATGAGTTCTGGTAACCCTTACGACAGAAGCTTTGGAAGTCATCCACTAATCTAAGTGACCAGATACGTCACAATCAGGTCGATATGGGAACATGTCGATATCGATAAGGCGTCGCGTCGTGCCCACCTCTAGGCCTTGCTCGCGTCGCAGCTCCTCGGCGTTGAGCGCGGAGCAGCAGAGCGTGGCGTGCGCGAGCTCGCAGGCGGCGGGCAGCAGGGCGCCGCCGGCACCGAACAGCTGCTCGGCGCCCGCCTCCAGCCGAGCCGTGCGGAGCAGCTGCGGGTAGCCCGCGTACTTGTACGGCGCCAACACTGACAATTTAAAACAATTACATTTTTAAAATGTTATTTTTTACAATTGAAGGATTGCAATAATTGTTACGTTATAATACTCATTGTAAAAATGAATATTCAAAAAAATCTAATATTAAAAAAAAAACTAATATTTAAAAAAAAAAAGACTCGCCCGCTGAGTTTCTTGCCAATTCTTCTCAGGACGGAGGCTAGTTTTTGTGAATTGGCGGTAGTTTTTTTGAAGTTCAATAAGTATGTACTTCCATTTATGTTGAATAAAAAAAAATTGATTTGATTTGAAAGGAGACCTAACAACTCAAAAGCAGCTGCTTCGCGAATGAAACTAATACCGGATCGGAATCCCGTCCCGCTGAGAAAATCAGGCGGGATACTCAGCGGGCTGATGTTTAGGTTAGCTTGCAATCGAACTCTTTGCCGATTTCGACGAGTACGGTTACCAAGGTCCTCTAAGCCTTCTCCTAGTGTTAGAGCTAAAGGCGTCTAATGCCTGGGTTATTGGATCTGATGGATCCGTAAGGACGTGTTTTTGAAAAGGACAATATCCGCCGCCGATACACGAAATAAATAATCTCATATCTAGAGTTGGCGCAAGACAATATTCATGAGCGGAGTTATTTCTACTTTTTGTGAACCGCAAATGAAAACTCACAAAGAGTTGTCATTTGATTCTATGTACTTATACTGTTTTAAAAACAAATATAAATTTTATTGACATTTGATAGCTAGTTTCGTTTCGCTAACTGAAAATGCCGCTACAGCCCACCGCTAAGATAAAACGATTTTTTTTTATTTGTAATCATTATGTAATTGGAATTATTTGTGGATCTTTCCAAGAATTTAATTATGAGAAAATGCCTTTAGGAGCTCTAGGCCGCTCTGGCGTTAAGTGTTTATTTGATTGTCTCAGCGGGTCGCTATTCCGATCCGGTGGTAGATTCTGCCAAGCACTTCCCTTACTAGGGCTGGTGTTGGCAAATTCCCTCTAAGCCCGTGAGCTCATCTACGAGTCCGCACGAAACTGAAATAGCCCCTTACCCTACCATTGAATATATTGGAACAAAAAAAAACAATAATAAAAATTAAGACACACCTTCTGAATATCTTTGGAAAAGTATAGTTTGAGTCCTCAATATAAGTACAATGTTGTTTGTGTTCGGTCCGTCTCCCGTCCACACGTTTCTGCTGCACAGAAATTCGTACGCCTGATTTACAGCCTCGAAACGATCCTAGATAAAATAAATAAATTAACAAATGAGCATTTCAACTACCCAACTATCGAATTGTAAATATCGCACAGTCTATACTCTATTCAGTATATTATTATTATTTTTTATTGCTTAGGTGGTTAGACGAGCTCACAGCCCACCTGGTGTTAAGTGGTTACTGGAACCCTTAGACATCTACAACGTAAATGCGCCACCCACCTTGAGATATAAGTTCTAAGGTCTCAAGTATAGTTACAACGGCTGGCCCACTCTTCAAACCGAAACGCATTACTGCTTCACGGCCGAAATAGGCAGGGTGGTGGTACCTACCCGCGCGGACTCATAAGAGGTCCTACCACCAGTAAGTTGTTTTTAGTAAGAATATACGCACCCTTCCTTCAGGGTTTTTATCTGGATGGTGCTGCTGAGCCAGTCGATAATAAGCCCTCCGCACGACGGCGTCGTCGCTGGTGTCGGGCGGCAGGCCCAGCACGCCCAGCGCTTGCGTCGCACTCATGGCGGCCGGCTTCTTCTCAACTTCACGCCGCCATGCCTCGAGAACACCCTTCAAGAGCCCCACCTGTTCCAATACATTACGATTATGAGCTAGGAGAAAGTAGATATTTCACACATATCTGAAACGCGCTATCGACATTGTCAAGAAATGTTTATATCTGTTTAATACATGTAACGAATAATTACACTTGCTCGATATAAGATCTTCCCTTTATCGATACGTTCCAAATATGATTACAATTACAGCTAGGACCTTGTCAGACTTACCTGTGTTTGGCATTAAATATATGAAATACAATAATTTGTTATATTTACTCGTCATTCTTTTGTTTGGTCTACTTGGACAGGCAAAGGAGGTATAGCCTATACTGCCAAGTACTTTTTTTGAAATTAATCTCTTTTTAGTGATGATACACAGAGGTATTTTATTGCAACTCGAATTTAAAAATATTTATGTACGTAAAAAGCTGAAACTACATAATGTCGTGAAGAGCAACGTTTTTCGTTGTCACCTTATCGTGTTTAGAAAGTTTCATTTACTGTGTATTTTTTTTTCTATTTTTTTATTTTTATTTACTAGCTGTATATAATGTATTCCCAATCTAACGTGTGTAGATCCTAATTTGGTGATAAAAATTTTTACACGTCTTAAAAATGTATATTGAGGGGTGAAGGGTATTGTTGTGGTTTGAGCGAAATTTCGCTTAATGCGCAACATTTATCTTTGTAATTAAAGGTGCGCTTTATTTGGTATTAGCATCAACATTGCGATGTTTTTAATTGAAATTCAATTAAGTTTACTCGATTCAAATAGCTGACGAAGTAATTTTTGTTATATTTTTTCCAAATTTTAAACATCAAATAACTCTCCTGTGAAGTTGCAAAAGTAAAGCTTTAAACAAATATAGCCTTTACCCTCTCGATATATAAATGAAAAGTGGTATTCACCGGATCAGGTATCGGCCAATCTGGGAACCTGGTGTTGTCGCACAGATGCCTGAGGTAGAACATGTTGCAGAACAGCTCGGCGTCCAGCTGCGGGTAGCGCAGCGCCGGTATCGCGAGGTAGGGGTAGCGCGCCGCCACGTGCGCACGCAGCCGCGGCGTGAACTCGCCGATGTGCGCCGATACTTTCATTATCAACATCCGTCTGTTGCACACACACACACGCACTCACTACGAGCTCACGGCCGTGGACATACTTTTTTTTTAAGGGATTTTATGACCTGGTAATTAAGACCTTTAAGTCAAGTCTTACTTTAATCAAAACTTTTTTATATGAAAAATGATATTATGAAATGAAATGTGGTGGTCATTTACTGAGACTTTTTCAGTGGAATTTTTGGAGGATCCCGAGAAGTTACGTTCAGCGGCTTTGTTTTATTTTCCCACATTTGTGCACTTTCACAGATACTAAGCACTTAATAAACCACCGTTATTACGCATTTGAGCCTGAAGAAACACTAAATAGACAAAATAAAACAAATCACACAACTTCACTCCTCGCGTTTCTGCCAAAACGTGCCCTTGGACTTGTAACTCACCACTGGGTCGCAGCAGAATTAGACAAAGCTTTATCAAACTCTATCAAGATCGACATATAAGAGACTGTTCTAAAGTCTACTGTTACCTTAATTATTCACCGGATGTCGAATGATCGTAAGATCTCACTACTACAAATCTGCCTCGCCCTTCAAAATGGGAACAAAATAGGCATAACCAAACATGGCACAAACGTGACCAGCTTGTCATATCCGATGACGTCATTCCATATGTTTCTGATCCACTAAACTATCTTAACATCTGATGGAAGGAACATGAACGACAAGAGTTCAGGTCTAGCTTAAATTATAGTTGAATTAATTTATTAATTTAAACCTCCTATTTAATTTTTCAAGTGAACAATAATTACGTACCTCATTTCATTGTTCCAAATGGCTTCTGGAGTGTCCCATTCTCCCAGGAATATCTGAGCGAACTTCTCTGCTCCGTGATTCTCCAGATAGCAGACCATTGCTTCCGGCAGCAGCTGACCTAATATCGAACGCTGCATGATGTCGGACGTGCTCTAAAAGTTTAAATTTAGTGTATTACGATTTTATGTATTTTGGAAACAACTAATTAATTACTTTATTTTTATTTAAAAAACGTATATGTCGGCGCAAATATGACTATTTACCTACCTATTGTAAAAATAATAATGATTCAATGTGATAATCGGATTATCTGGTCATCAACTAATTACTCTGTGTTTGTTAAGATGAGAAATTAATGTTAAACAGTCCCTTTTATTGTAATTTCAATACTTTAAAAACTTGTAAACACGCTGACGTGTGCCAAGCCCTATAAATACGGCCGTACTATCTAGCGCTTCTACCCGATGATATGTAGGCGAAGTAAAATGTCCCTTAGAAATAAGGTGACACTCTACAAAACTTGCATACGCCCCGTCATGACCTATGCAAGTGTAGTGTTCGCTCACGCGGCCCGCATACACCTAAAAACATTTCAAATTATTCAATCCCGTTTTTGCAGGATAGCCGTCGGAGCCCCGTGGTTCGTCAGGAACGTCGACCTCCATGACGACCTGGACTTAGAGTCCATCAGTAAGTATCTTCAGTCGGCGTCCATGCGCCACTTCGATAAAGCGGCACGACACGAGAACCCTCTCATCGTGGCCGCCGGTAACTACATTCCCGATCCTGCGGACAGAATGGAAAGCAGTCGACGTCGCCCTAAACACGTCATCTCGGATCCTCCTGATCCACTAACGGTGCTTTTAGGTACTTCAAGCACCGGTCACCGTTCTCGTCGAACCCGTCGCTTGCGACGAAGGGCTCGACGAGTAAATTAACTCTCAGACACAGCCCACTGAGTTTCTCGCCGGATCTTCTCAGTGGGTCGCGTTTCCGATCCGGTGGTAGATTCTGCGAAGCACGGCTCTTGCTAGGGTTCGTGTTAGCAACATCGTCAGGTTTGAGCCCCGTGAGCTCACCTACTAAAGTTAGGGTTACGCTGACATAGCCGCTAGGGCTATCAGCTTAGGTAGGGGAAAAAAAAAAAAAAAAAAAAAAAAGCGCTTTGTCATTCGTGTCCGAGCCGTAGCACAGTACGGATCTCTCTGAATGTTGTCACGCTTCTCGTGAAATATACGCAGTTATTGTGAAGTTCTGGTGAAGTTTTGTTTCGAAAGCCCAAACATGAGTCATTCGTCGAGAACTTAATGACCGTGACGTCAACAATGCTGACGTCACACTTTTTAAAGACATTCCTTCAGCGTTTCTCCTCCGTCATATATTATTGGGATTTTTTTGATTCACAATTTTTTTTACTAAAAATTATATATGCATACATATTTTCATTTATTCTACATTGCGAACAGATATAACATATTATGATAAAAGGAAAAAAAATATACAAATGTAGAGTTTAATCAATACAAAAGTCCAGTTTTTTGGGTGGGACAACCTTCCTACAATACAACTAAGATTCTACCTTCAATTCTCTACATATATGACGTCATTCACATTATGATATCTACGGGCTCCGGTATCCATCAGGTGAAGAGTGAGCTAAATTTACTTGTCTATGCAATAAAAGTGAAAGTCTCACCTGATCAGCTCTGAAGGCCTGCCTCATGTGCGTGAGCCGCAGGAACCTTGCTATAGGCAACAGGTTGGATCCCGTGTACAAGAGCATAAAATAAAACACTCCAGTTAAGTACAATTTCGATATCTCCGGATTGTCTTGCATCACCTCATACAGAAGAGTTGCGACCTGAATATAAAAAAAAATATGTTGTATTATACTAGCTATATCCGTCGGCTTCGCTGGGCATTTAAAATTAACTTTACTATTTCTAACCCCCACAAAGATTCTCATCATTAACGCCCCCGCAACAGGTGTAGGGAGTCCAGCACTCATATAAATATTAGCCTATCTATTAAAGACATGTATTTTCTACATGGATAGCAAGTTTCAAGTCAATCGGATACATGGTTCAGTCATTATAACGGAACATCCGTAAAAACCACTGTAGATTTATATATTAGTATAGATTGCACGGACTAATGATTCTCAGATAAATGCATATCCGTGAGGCGCTAAACAGGCGATATGGGGTATGCGTGTATATGGCGACGACAATCACATTACGACATTACGACGTCCTACACCTGACCATTTATAACCAGGTGAGTCCTCGTCAGAATGTCGAACGTCCTATTAAAGACTGGTTGTTGACTTGTGATGGTTGCCGGTGAAATGGTAGACCATCTACGCATGTTATATCTATCTAAAAGTCGATATGTGTGTTTCGGTTACGATCGGATCCAAGTTAAATCAAAAACTGGACAGGAAAGCGAGACGGCCGAGTATGACTCGTATAGCTTAAACGTATGCACTGATAACCGTGAGCACTCGTGAACGTTACATACACGTGACTTACAGGTGTCTATGGGCGCGAGTATCGAGAACGTTTCCAGTTCAATGAACTTCATCTAGCGTATTGAATGTGCCAGGAAACAAGAGCCAGCAGGCAGCGGGATTACCTTTTCGACGAGTATGGGGTCGAAGGTCAGCAGCAACTGGACGACGTGCGCCAGACTGGCCGGCTCCGAGAGCAGCCGCTTTATTCGGGGGAGCGGCCTTATTACCGCGTCTTCTTCGTCTCTAACGACAAACTCAACATATTCAACTATAACATATATGCTTTTTTTTATTGCTTAGATAGGTGGACGAGCTGACAGCCCACCTGGTGTTAATTGGTTACCGGAGCCCATAGACATCTACAACGTAAATGCGCCACCCACCTTGAGATACAAGTTCTAAGGTCTCAAGTATAGTTACAATGGCTGCCCCACCCTTCAAACCGAAACGCATTAATGCTTCACAGCAGAAATAGGCAGGGTGGTGGTACCTACCCGTGCGGACTCACAAGAGGTCCTACCATTAGTAAAATCTGCTATCTAAGCTTTGTGTTGCTTTTTCAAAAACAACGGACCAAGACAAGCTCATCATCTCTTATTTTACCCCTAAGGGATGAATTGCCAAAAAATCCTTACTTAGCGAATGCTGACAATGTAAAAAGTAGCAGCTAATATCAAAATCTCAAGATTTTTAGCAGTAGCAGTTTCGGTTCTACAATGATGAATCAGTTTGGTTAGCTAGGACAAGGAATTTTTGCTGTAAAGATAAATTATATTACATTTGTTTATTTTAATCATTACAGTCCGCCATCTTGAAAAATTCTATAAAAATCGCTAACTTCAAATCATGTGCACACTAGGTTGCATCAATCTTTACACTGAAGAATTCAATAACAACGAAACAATTTAAATCTAATTACAGTACAGAAGAAAGAATAGTAAATTTTACCTGCTCGGATAATATCGTGAACAAGTAATCAATAGATCCAAAATCGTAGCGGCCAGAGCGCTTTCATCGAAAACTGGGGCTCCCCGCGCCACCAGCGTCCACTTGAGTTGGGGAATACCGCCAACTGCACGCCAACCTTCCATGCTGTTGGCCCAACATTTCGTCTTGTTCGTGATCTCGCCAGACTTGTACAGGTCCTTTAGCTGTTTTAACCAAAACATTATTTGTTACAGCACACATAACTAAAACATTGGCTTTTAAGCATTTACTGAAGCAATTGTCGGGTTAGTGTTATATTATTATGAATTTACTCCTTAGCAGATTTTACTGTTCAAATAATGATTCATTAATAGACTCCGTGCATCATACCTGTTGAAGACTGATGGGACCCTTCCTCTGAACCTTGTCTCCCTGCTCGAGGTTGTAGTACCACTCGCGGTCGTTGCCCCCGGGCTCGGCGGGGCCCTCAATGACGTTGCTCTGCGCCGGGATGAGCGCCCGCGACGTGTGCAGGTGCGCCAACGTCATCAGCTCCACTAAAATCCTGATGTATACGAAAATGACTCTTACCGCTAAAGAAATAAAGCAACCGATAGAAGCTTATCATATCCTTTTTATCATCGCACCTCCCGCCATCGGAGCAGAGTTCATCCATATTACCTGGAACCGCTGCGTTCATCGGCAGTGCGTTTCCAGAGGTCTTTCTTGCCACGCACCATCCTGCTATGGAATGGGCTCGCCTTCACGGTGTTTCCCGAGCGCTATGACATGTCCTTCTTCAAACGAGGCTTGTGGAGAGTATTAAGCGGTAGGCAGCGGCTTGGCTCTGCCCCTGGCATTGCTGAAGTCCATGGGCGACGGTAACTACTCACCATCAGGTGGGCCGCATGCTCATCTGCCTAAAAGGGCAATAAAAAAATAAAAAAAAGTATTTTCTCAGCACTTACCTAATTCCGTTCCATTCTAATATTTCACTAACGTTTCGTTTGTGTAGTATTAGTTTCGACAAAAACTGAACAAGTCTATCTCTCTCCATTCTATCACAGGTCTGAAAACGAATTGGATTATTTACAAAGTTTTTCTTTTTCTTTTATTGCACTAATGGAATATTGTTAAAGGTTACAAAGCCCACGGGTATCACAACGTGCATGCCGGCACAAAATGAGACATGTCAATTGTATAATAATGGTCCGACACTACAAACCAAAAAGCATTACCTACCGTACCTACCCCTGTGAGCTGGTAGGGTTACCACCAATGAATTTTTTCCGATTTAATTTTTGTTACGCGATGTCATTTTTGCATCCTGGAAGTAGTCGTTTGTGAGCACGTGTCAGGTCCGTATTTCATAGAATGGTGCCCGCGGGGTTCGAATACAGGCATAGTCACATCGCTCTATACGAGTCCACTGTACTGGGCGCTTTATCCCTTAGGCCACAACGACTTCTGTGACGACGACGACTCTTAGATAACGACAACGACTCTTATATATTATATATCTCAGCTACGTTTATATTCATCATCAATCAATCTTATCATCAATTTTTAATTAACTAAAATTTTTTTTTTCAGATGACACTAACGAGGTATAGCAGTTTCTTTCTTTCAAAGTGACATACTAGACTTTTTTCTTTTTATTACCCTTGTAGGCAGACGAGCACACAACGACTGGTAACCGTCGCCCATGGACTTCAGCAATGCCAGGGGCAGAGTCAAGCCGCTGCCTACCCAAACCAACCTTGGTGTACCTTAATAAGTAAATAAATTCGACAATTAAAAGTTCGATAAAGCCGTCGGTTCTATATGACGATGTGTCTTTTTGTACAGATAGTAAATATCCCACCCTGTCCAACATCTGCACGATGTATCTGGTGTCGGCAAACGGTCCGATGTCCTCGAAGTACCGCCCGTACACGATGCTCATCGCCTGCAGGCACATGCACTTCATCTCCACTTTGGGGGTGGACAGGAACCGATGGTACAGGTCGTTAAAGAACTCATACCTAGAACCAGAATATTGGCAAATCATGAACGCTATCATCCACTACCGCATCGGAATCGCGACCCGCTGAGAAGATCCGGTGAGAAACTCAACGGGCTGACTGGCAGAATCTAACACCGCATCTAAATCGCGATCCACTGAGAAAAACCGGCAAGAAACTCAATGGGTTGATTTTGTACCACACAAGAAAAATTGTATGAAAAATATAGGAGGGGTTCGAACGCCCCTATTCAATAAATGCGATAGCTGGAGCTTTGATAGCTTTTGTTTTGGGTTTTGTTTGTTTGGGTTATGTGTTGGGTTGATAGCTTTTGTTAGCATATTTCTGAACCAAATAATTAAAAGCAAACGAATATCGCTATGCTCAAGTAAAAAAAGTAGATACAGTAAAAGCTCATTATTCGCGGGGTATATGTACCGCAAATATTCCGCGAATCAAGAAACCGTGAAACTAAGTAGCGCGGCGGAGGCGGCTTGTTTCAAAGGTGGAAGCAATACAGCGACGATATCATTGAACAACATACCTATAGACATAGTTGTAATAAGGTTTATTTTACTTTTTACTGGTCTATTTGACGATGCGTTTACAAAGGATATTCGGGTAGATACCACATTGGAATCCTTTTTATCAATGTGTATGTACCGATTATATTCGCGAATAAATAAATCTATAGCCGCGAATATAGAAATTCGGGCGCATTTCTTTTAACAAGTGGTCCCCCGGTAGTCGAAATTCGACTATAGTTATTTGAAATTATAAGTAAGACTAACTGCTATAAGCACAGATTTCGCCAAGACTACACTTTAGACAAATATTAATAAAGACAGACAGTATTTAATCTATTCTCAATTTGACCACAGACTATAAGCAATAAGAAAAGTTTGACAATAAACAAATAGTATGCATGCGTGTGTATGTCAAATACATGGTAGTGTGTGTAATGTTTATATTGATTTAATGTATGTTGAAGTGAAAACTTCTTTAAAATCGTTGTGATTTCAAACCGGATGCAACGGAAAAACCGACAGGTAAGAGACACAAATACAAAAATGTGTAGGATGAAGCCAGCAAAGAATGAGACAGAAATATACATACTATTTAATACAGCGCCATCTGTGAGATTTTTTAATACTAACGTGTGTATGAAAGCTCTTGTAGTGAATTTTAATTTAGGATTATACGTGAAATTAAAATATCAATTCACAGAGGGCGCTACCTTACAATTATTTACTAATGACAAAATTTTACATATACTTAAGACGTTTAGGATAATTGTATTTTAATTTTGGAAGGTTTCACTTCTACCACGTGTGAATTGCACACATTTTGTATTTTTTTTTTATACTTAATTTAAATAAATATTAACATTCTGCACTCCTTCTCTCTATTTTCTATAAGTGTGGATAATTTCATACTCCTCCGTCCGCGCGATTTCGTAAAAAGGGTTACAAAGTTTTTGCTTCACGTATTAATATATAGATTTGCGATTAGTGAAAACGCGAATGAAGTAGCGTGGTCATTTGTAAACGAATCAATGACTTACGACTTCCGTATCGGGCTGTCGTCGTTGTCTTTCTGCTCCAGCAGTATCCTTAGATAATAGTCGCCGATCTTGACCTCGTTCTGGAGACACTGGTACTGCAGCTCCAGCTCGGCGTGGTTCCACGAAGTGAGAGTGTTGCCGGCCACTTCGCGGTCCGAAGTGAACGCGCGCAGCTCGTTCTCCAGAGCGTTACGGAGCTCCTCCCGGGTCTGGACAATAGCAGTTCGGTGGGTAATTCTCGACAGTAGAAAAAAAATACATAAATCATTGTGCTATTGTATGTCTGTTTGATTTTTTTAAAGGAATTTTATTATCTGGTAACCAAGATCTTTAAGTCAAGTCTTATTTTAATTTTAATGAAAACTTTTTTATGTAGAAAAGTTATATTATGAAATGAAATGAAAACCAAATGAAAAAGAAATGAAAACAAATGAAAACAAATGAAAACAAATGAAAACAAAATGAAAACGAAAAGAAATGAAATGAAATGAATTTGATTTAATTTGAAAACGAAATGAAAACAAAATGAAATGAAATGAGGTGATATGGGATGAAATATAATCTCAGTAAAATAGTGGTTATTTACTGAGACTTTTTCAGTGGACTTTTTGGAGGATCCCGAGAAGTTACGTTCAGTGGCTTTGTTTCATTTTCCCAATTTTGTGCAGTTTCACAGATACTAAACAGTTAATAAACCACCGTTATTACAAATTAAATCTGAAGAAACACTAAATAGACAAAATAAAATAAATCAAACAACTTCACTCATCGCGTTCCCGCCAAAAAATCTCATGTCTGTTTGATTTTTGACATTTGTGTTGCCAGGTAAGCTCAGGCCCAATTACAGTCACAACACAGCGGAGACACGTGTCACAAGGCTGATGGTAATATTCGCTATGTTATAGTCTCCAGAAAAAGGCAAAAGTGTGATCTACCAGTGGCAACTTGAAATTTGCCCTGTTACCATTTAGCGACGTTTAATTTCGGCGTTATAATTCCAGTCCAATAACCGTCGATTCTCTTAATCACCTTTTAAGACCCTCACGGTAAAATGGGATTCATTCCAACTTGTGGAACTTGTAATACTCTTTGGCTATACTATTTGTACCTGGGTGGTTTTGGTATCATTAAAAGTTTAAATTTTAAAGAAGATAATTCCAGATTCAAAGTTAGGAAAATGTGTGATTTTCATTTATTTTTCGTACCGTCAAGATGAGTGAATCTAATGAAGAAATTCGATACATTTTAAAATTTCACTACAAGACAGATAAAAATGCAAAACAAGCTGCGAAAAAAATTTGCGAAAAAATGCAAAGAAACTTTTTCCCCAACCTATTATAAGCAGGTTAGAGCCGTGACACATACCGTATGGTTCCAGATGAGATTAGGCAGGGCGTGGTCCCTGTGGAACTGGTAGTAGAACAGCGGCCAGTTGGCGGCGGACTTGACCCGCTCCCGGCGCCGCCGCAGCAGCACGGGCCGCTCCCGCACCGCCTCCCGCGCCGCGCCCCCCGCGCGCCCCGTGCGCTGCGCCCAGTGCTGCAGCGCCAGGCTGGCGTAGTGCTGCGTACAAATGGTCACTGAGCGACTACATATTTCTACATACCTGTTCTTATTTGTTCCGGGAGAATTGAGTGCGTTTACTATGTCGCTTTAAATGTTGGTAGCGAAACAGTAGTAAAAAGGCACTTCGTTTTAACTATGAAGTTTGAAATCTAAAAAACACGCTCTATTTACATTATAGAGAGAGAGGGGTATATATATACTTACTTTATATTGTAAATTTAAGGCCACTGAGTTTCTCGCCGGATCGTCTCAGTGGCTCGCGATTTCGATTCAGTAGTAGATTCTGCCAAGGACTGCTCTTGCTAGGACTGGTGTTAGTAAATTCCCACTGAGACCGTGAGCTCACCTACCCGTCGGCATGAAGCTGAAATAGCCTTTAGGCTACCAGCGAAAAGGTAGGTTTTTTTTAAATGTAGTTCTACTGTACAGCATCTGTGCCATATGGTATCGGTTGAACAACAAAAATCTTCAATTTTAAAATTAACTTCTCAACCACGGAGCTCATTATAGAAACCCCCCCCCCCCCAACTGAGTTCCCCGCGTGATCCTCAGTATCCACCGTCACCCGTAGCTGTCCACGGTAGCGTGGCACAGCTGATCGTCCAGGACTGACCTCCAGATGTTTCTCGACGTACTTGACCTGTCGGTCGAGCGCCTGCCAGTGCGCGGCGCGCGGGCGGTGCGCGGCCTGCGCCAGCTGCAGGTTGTCGCGCCCCTCGTCCCGCTGCTCCTCCAGCGCGCCCGCCGGGGGACTCTCCGCCGACTCCAGGAACCCAAGCAGGCCAGACGGCTGAAACGATGGAGAGCATCATCAGTTCTCATACAACACATCTCTTACTTATTTTTTCAACTCAAATAACTGCTATATTTGCATAATATCCACTACACTACTACACTACTAACGACCCGCCCTCGCTTCGCTTCGGAAACTGTAACTTATTATTGATTTCTCCACTATTTAATGGATGTTATTATACATATAACCCTTCCTCTTCAATCACTCTATCTATTAAAAAAACCGCATCAAAATCCGTTGCGTAGTTTTAAAGATTTAAGCATACATAGGGATATAGGGACAGAGAAAGCGACTTTGTTTTATACTATGTAGTGTTACGCCGGTAAGAGTAACGCCATCTACCGCCGTATAGTCGACCGAATAACGAAGGATCTAGTAGCGCCTAGAACCTCGAGAAGTGCAACGCCATCTATTGACAGATAGCGGAAACTACTACTAGAGATGTGTGGAATATTCTCGATAATTCTAGGGATGAGGTATCGGCTATAAAAGCGTTATAGAGATGGCACGCAGTCAGACAGTAATCGGAACTACTCGAAGCGAAACAGCGAATGGATCACCTGAATCACCAGCGAATTGAAAGTTTTAAAGTGTTTGTTGTGAGTTTTACGTGTTCTAGTGTTGAATACAGTTTTTTAGTTGTACTTTGGTGGAATTTTATTTACCCCGAACCCCAGCGCGTAACAGTACTAAGACCAGCAAACGACCCAACTCATGGTCCAATCCAATAAATGAAATGAAATGATATGCAAATATGATTAGTTTCGATACTGACCATTATCCTGCTGAGGAGGTTATGCGCTGGTGCGTGGTCGACCAGCCACAGCGCCACCAGATGTCGCGCCAGATGCCTGTGATGCAGTCTCGCTGGAGCGTACAGCGCCGTAAGGAGGTGCCTCGGCAGGGCTGCCTCAGCCAGAGCGAGGGCTTGCATGCGAGTGCCCACAGCGCCGGCGCCCTCTTCGATCAACGCTCTCATCACGAGGCCCGCTCCTTTTACTATTGCCATTGACGGGTGCTGGTGTTACCATCAATTAAAAGGTTACTTATAAGTATTGAAATCATAAAAATAATTTTTTTTTAAATAATAATTTATTACTTACTTCAAACAATTTAAATATGACGCGTCCTTTATTAGAAACCATTTCCAATAGCTGGTCAAACTGTTTTCCATCCGTAGTTTCACTATACGGCACGCATAAGGCGAACGTTAAGAAATCCAACATGGCTGCCACTACCAAAGCCCCGGTGCCTGCACTCTAAAAAAATATTCACTTCTATAGTAACATTATTCATAACAAGTTAAAAAATTATTTAGACAAATTATAGCAAATTCAATATCTATCTCAACAATACTCACATTTACTCGTGAAACAAAACAAGTAAAATCAACGAATGTTTCTTCAATATTATAAGGAGCAAAACTAAATTCTGATGGCTGCAGCAAATGAGTGCTGATCGATTCTGTCGTGAAGCAATTTTGGTTTGAAGGGTAAGGCTGTCGTTGAACTATTAAACTGAGACTGGGGACTCTTGTCTCAAGATTGGATGGTGGCATTTACGTTATAGATATCTATGAGCTCCAGAGACTTACACCAGGTGGGCACTGAGCTTGTCCACCCATATAAGCAATAAAAAATAAATAAAAATTACACGCTTGTATTTACTGGTTATGTATGTACGTTTGTTTTTATGTAATGCAATGTAATTTAATCTTTGAATTTCATTGTGATCAGCTTGAAAAGTCCCATTACTTTGATAATTTGCCAAATCTGTTACCACAGAGTACACATCACGAGTACATTATCAGATTTCAAATTTGAAACCTCGGAGTGTTTAGTGCGAGTTTCTTAACGTTCTCGATAGTGTAAAAGTTAAGCCAATTTTGTATCCTACCACCGGTACTCTCTCTAACTCGCACTAAGCACACGGGAGTGATGACAATAGACCGCGTCGACAGACAGATAGTAATGTAAGTGAGCTTACAACGTGTTCCGCCCACATGGCGAGCAGGCCGTCGAGGAACTGCGCGGACGAGAGCATGCTGGCCTTGTTGAGCTGCTCCTGGCGCAGGTCGGGCTCGTGGTGCATGGGCTGCATGAGCGCGCACACCGCGTCCAGCGCCGCGTGCGAGCACGCCGCACTGCCGCGCCGCAGCGCCGCCACCACGGACGCGCCCACCCACTCGCGGAACCTACACACGACCACGCCTCAACGTCCACACTCCACACTCCACACGTACGTCAACGTTATAGACATTTCATAATGTACTACATTTTATTCCCTGTGGGCTCCAATGTGCAAGAGTGGTGAATGTTGTCAACTGAATATATCTGAGTATCTGAAGTAAAGCTGTTTTATTCTTTACACGAGGAGCACTGCTGCTTGTTTAGATACAGGTTTTATCACCTAGTTCAAGCACTGATGCAGACTATGATTGTGTTTCTACTTCTATGTTAACAATAAATAAATAAATATTTTTTTACTGGTTGTAGAACCTCTTGTGAGTCCGCGTGGGTAGATAACACCATCCTGCCTATTTCTGCCGTGAAGTAGTAATGCATTTCGGTTTGAAGGGTGGGCCACCCGTTGTAACTATACTTGAGACCTTAGAACTTATATCTCAAGGTGGGTGGCACATTTCTTCAACTTTTCAAACTTCCCACAGCATCACAGTAGGTTCCGTAGGCGTGTCTGTTTCGACCGCGTACTATTTATGAGTTTCGATTTTAAGACAGCGATTCTTAAATCTTCTATCACATGTATCAACGTAAGTGATGACTCATTACGATGTCTACAGGCTTCCTTCCCTTGAGAACGGCTGGTGGAACGAGATTTTGAACACAACAGACATATTTCGGAGTAGGTAGGTAGTTAGTAGAGTAGTGGATAAGGTTAGTAGCCTCACCCGGTCAAGGCTGTGAAAGCAGCGAAGCCCACTTTACTGGCGCAGAGCCTCCGCAGGGCGTGGAACTGCGCCTCCAGCTCGCGCGGGGGCAGCGTGGCGCTGGAGCTCACACTGTTCACCAGCGCGGTCAGGGCGCCCGTTATCAACTTCTCTTTGTTCTCCGCGAACAAACGCTATAATCCAAATTCGAAATCAAACTATTTTATATTTTAAATAGGTGTAGGTGATAGATTGCAAACAGTATAATGAGTGAAAGTAAAAACAAACTTGAAAACAAGACAATTAATATCATCACCAGTTTTCGGATGTGCAATTTTTTTGTCATTTTCATTCATTCAAATCAAATTAATGTTACATGTGTAATGATATATTTACAACGATTTTAATGTTAGCAAAAAAAAAATGACATTCAGTGTGACCAATTTTCCATGTAATCAAATAATTACCTCGAGAATTCTAGCTTATCTTTTAAAAGTACAAATTCGCTCTTTCACTATCCTGTCACACACAATAAGTTTTATATTTTAAATAAAGATATAGTAGTGTAGTGTAATTTAGTATAAAGGAAAAAATCTGGAAATAACGACAAGAGCGAAGTCATGCTTCGAGAAAGGGAGTGTTTAAATAATAAATAGGGACTTACAAGATCCCATGTTAGAAACAGCCACAACAGGGGACGAACCGCCTACAAGGCACACAACACAATAATCAGTTGTTTTTGAGACGCTGATTATAAATTATAAGCGGAAAGCAAAAAGCTTACGTCAGTTTTACATTTTATAACGACTAATCTATGAAATATAATCTATTATCTGGCAACACTGACTACTACTCAACTGTACCGATCGATAAATAAATAAAATACTCGACCATGGAAAATGAGTCCCTGAATAAATCTAATGCTACAAGTTATGGTATTTCTGGTCGCTGGCTGAGGCTGCAGAAGGTAACTTCTGCAGGTCTAGCCTTCCACCACTGCGTAAGTCCAATGACAGTCTGGCTCATAGTGCGAAGGAGAAGGCTGACCTTCTGGTCAAGCTCTTTGCCTCATACTCGACTTTGGATGATGGAGGAGCCACGCCGCCCAACATCTCCCGGTGTGACAGCTCCATGCCTGAGATTCGCATCACACAGCGTGCGGTCAGACAGGAGCTTCGGTTTCTTGATGTCCATAAGTCGAGTGGGCCAGATTGCATCCCCGCAGTGGTTCTAAAAACATGCGCCCCTGAGTTGACACCCGCGCTAACGCGTCTATATCGCCTCTCGTACNCACATGAAAAAAAAAAAAAAAAAAAAAAAAATTTAAAAAAATATGAATTTAAAATATTAGTAAATAGATGCATTTAGCTAATAGATTACATAATATGCTGAGATTGTTCCTTACGTCTTGGCTAACGGAGTATATTAGACCGCTGTATCCGATGTTGGCGTTGAAACGTTCTATTACTTCCGCGCGAGTCATACCAACTGGATTTTGAAACAATCTGTGAATTTATTTATTGTTTTAAAAATAATTTATTAAAGGTTTCATACAAAATTATAAGTGCCTCCTCTTTTTTTGGGAGTCGGTTAAACTATTATACCTGCTACATCAGGGGCTCCCAAACTTATTTTTCTGCTGCCCACTTTGAGAATAAGTTCTATTTTAGCGCCCCCATTTTTTCACCTACTTAAAAACCACTATAGCGAAAGCTCAGTCGGTGTCTAAGAGTCATTCTAGATGAAATAACAAATCGCCTCCCAAGCCTCTATACGGCGCCCCCTTTTTTTTGGGTCTCTTACCGCCACCCTTTAGGGCTGCAGTGCCCACAAGGGGGCGTTATCGCCCACTTTGAGAAAGACTGTGCTACATTATCACTCACCTTAGATGATTAGATTCAGTCTCCTCGTCGACGCTGTGGTGTAAGGGACCAAGTCTGTACCCGCGCGGCGTGTACGTAGAACGCACGTGCACGTCGCGCTGGCCCGCCGAACGAACACCATCTAATAACGACGCCAACAACGCGTCCCTAGATAAAAGCACTATTATGTTCTTTCTATTTCATGTCTCGGCGTTAAAGGGAGTGAAAAATAAAATAGTCTAAAAATTTAATTACAAAAAAATCCCATAAGCTTTAAGTACTGTAACGCCGGTGAGGGCAACGCCATCCATCGTGGTATAGCAGAAACGAATATGAAATGAACTAGTAAAGAGAACACTCGAGAAATACAACGCCATCTATTGTCAAATAGCAGACACGCATATCGAAAATACTCGACTCGTCAGGAATGTTCTCGATAATTCTAGAGATGTCGTATCGACTATAAAAGCGTTGCAGGGATGACACGAAGGCAGTTAATAATCGGAACTACTGGAAGCGAAACAGCAAACGGATCACCTGAAGCGAAGCGCTAGAAGTGAATTAAGAATTTTAAAGTGTTCTGTGAGTATTGTAAGTGTTAATACAGTGTCAATTTGTACTTCGGTAAATTTTTATTTATCCCGAACCCCAGCGCGTAACAGTACCTTTTGTGTCCCAGTAAAAGTAGGTACCAACCACCATCCCGCGTGTTTACGTCCCGAAACATTTCGGCGAAACGATTAATGTAGGATAACTGTCATTTAAATAACTGACGAGGGCTAACCTTATACCCTAACCTTATTAATTTAGTCGATACATTATGTGTAGTTTCAATTTAATTTTCCCTGACTAATCCTTGGTAACCTAAAAGGCTATCCCAACTTCTCACGGACCGATAGGTGAGCTCAAGGGTTCAACCTGAGAGAATGTGTCAACAATATCTCTAACAGGAAAAATGATTCCCTAAATTTACCATAGGATCGGAATCGCAGCTCACTGAAAAGATCCGGCGAGAAACTCAATGAATTGTGTCTATGGGCTAGGTCGCGCACGTCGATTTCTTCGTCGTCCAATCGACGAGGACGGTGACCGGTGCTTGAAGAGCCCAGTTTTGGGTCACATCTGTAGATGCTGTTACCGATTGTGACGTCAATAATAAAGAACGAATACACAATAATGAAAGACACCGTTTATTCCGTAAGATGGTACATGTGTTTACATAAAGACCGGCGCCGGGCAACTGGTGCAGCGTTATGCAATAATTGCATGCGCATGCGCTTACGTGTGTGTCCCTACACCAGAATCACCACAGTGTGCAGTAAATTCTTTATATGTAGCTAGATCCTTAATAGAGATTATATAGGGAAAGAAGCTTAATGTGACACCTATTTAATAAGAAATTAATCATCTCCAACATCATCTGTCCGTCACAAGCTGTTTTGTTTGATTCTGCTTTTTACAAACTGCGTCTTTCATTTAAAACCCGTCCAGAAAGCAAATAAATTTGATATTCGTTGTTTTTTATAGAGCAGTTTTGAGCAACTTATGTAACAACATACTTGTTGGGTTAATCTGAGCATTAATTCATTTAAAAAAAAAGAAAATTGACGTTCATAAATTTCAATGACATAAAATAAAATAAAATTGAAGAAATATTTTACCTTTCGCCGGCTAAATAAGTACGGGTCTGTCCATTCATGTATTCGATTGAGAATTTCTGAGGCTGTTCAGGATCTCTTATCAAAGCAAAAACGTCGCTCAAAGGACGCAAACATACAACCTGTAAAATTTTTAAACATTAATTAATATTTTGTTCGTATTAGTATAGTATAAGGTTAAGGGATGAGTTGATTTAGTACGTTTGTAACGTACAGTTCTCTAATGACTTCCATTATTAAAGAATGAAATGCCATAATGAAAATCAAATCCGCTAAATCCAAATTTTCGTCTTGTGAGCCAACACGGATATATACTACCAGAGCATGCCCATTTCTGGTTTGAAGCTGGTTTGAAGGGTGAAATCGCCATTTCATTATCCAATTGGGACTTAGGACTTCAAATCTCAAGATGGTTGGCACCGTTCACGAAATGATGTCTCAGGACTCCGGTAAGCACTTAACACTAAGTTAGCTTTGAGTTCGTTGACCCACCTATGCAATAGAAAAATATACTAAGTTGTACCAATTTTGGGACTGGGAGAATCTTGCGAGCAGTAACATTGGATGAAATTATTTGTTTTAAAAAAAAACATTACTCACGGAGTATGTTTGTGGATCTCTTTCTAGAATACATGTATCGGAAAGACAGAGTGTACGACGCATGGGCTCCATATGACGGGCTGGGTTAACTTTGTGCACGATGAACTCGCTCAACGATGTTTGGTGTTGGTCTCCACTGGAACAGAGGATTAGAGTCAATTTATCTGTACCCAGGTTATGGATTCATCATGCATGCATTTATGGCTGGAATTAACGAATTTTTTTTACTTCGAAGCTGATTCTGATAAAGTCCCAATTATTAATATTTTATCAAGATTTGACCAGTAGTTTTTCGCTTATCCTTAATAATGCATTGTCAATTGATTTTGCTACATTGGTGATATAATTTTTTATTTTGTTGAGTCGATTTTCTTTTTGTTAAATTTTATATTTAAACCTCATGCATGAAGTACAACATTCAAGTTCAAGAGATGCACATTGTGACCGTCCAGACAAACTAAACAATCAAACTTGCCTCAGCAATGGTTTATAATATCAGTGCAACCACCATCAGCTCAGACTTCTACATTGTTTCTGTAGTGCTTCAAAAACTCCAATAAAAACTACCATATCAAATATATTTACTGTGTTATAAAATGACTTAGGTTTATGCACTGTATTAAATTATGTTAAAATTATATAGATAGACAAGATAGTGTTTTTTTTGTAAATTATATATAACACAATAGCTCAGAGATCAGGTATATAATTAAATTAAAACTAATGTATTTTTCAGTATTACTAGTGTTTTTAAAAAATATTTATAGATATAAATATATTTCAATATGTTTCATTCATTTATATCATAATTGATAGTAATTTATTCGTAATTTTATTCATAATTTACTATCAAGAGTTCTGCTCAATTATGTGTAACATAACACTTTCCTAAAATAAATTATTTCAAGGTTGATGACTCACATTATAATGAACAAACAGTGAAACAATTGACGGAAACTAAAGGAAGAAATTAATTAACAGTTGAAAAGTTTTTTCACTTTTAATTTTAATAAATCATTCATTTGGTAGGTACTTATTTATGGTATTTACTTAGTGCCAGCCCTTGCAGATAATATCACAGCACATTGTATTGCCAGTCAGTATGGATGATAGGAAATAGAGGGAAGACTTGACAATGTGTAGAAAAAATATGAGAGAAATATATAAGCCAACGATGGGGACATAGTTGTACTCATCAAAGCTGGGGTTGCATGATTAATATTCAGGAAACCTATAAAATTATCTGTCGTCAAAACGGATACACGGATTTGATAATAGAGATACTACCTTTGTTTTAATGTTTACATTATTCTTTATGCTAGAACACAAAACATTGAAGCTAAACCTTTTTTGAAAACACCATTTAGACATCTTGCTAACTCTTTAATACACCAACATTATAACGGCATTAAGTTTGGAGGAACCATTAGCATCATTTTTTACTTAGCCAATGTTCATAACAAAAACTGCTGAGATGACATCCTCATTCTAGTTGGTAGTTTGATTAACTTTTGGTTTTTTTTTCCTTAATAGATCACAAAATTGATCTGCAAAATCTATAAAACTTTGTAATTATCTTCTTATTGTTTTTAAATTGATATTTTAATAATTAACTAAAGATAGCATTTTGAATACTTTTCCCAAATTTAAGTACTGACAATTCTTACAACAATGAAGTTTTAAAATCTAGATTTCACCCCATTCTGTTTTACACCTAATGTAACACAATTAAACATTGTTTTACTGTATTTTAACAAAAGAATAAATTATATTTTTGTGTAAATAAATATAGTTTATCATTTCATTTCGTCTAGTAGTTTCTTTACATTTTGAATTTTGTAACCATTCCTTACACCCTATGTTTGCTCACCTATATTTTCCAAAACGTTGATCATGATAATCATCCAATGTAATTGTAGCTGATAAAACCTTGATGCTAATGCTCAATGTCAAATTGGCTAATTCAAGCATCTTATTTATAATAATCTGGTGATCCATTGCATTTGAAAACAAATGTAAGCGACTATAACCTCCAACAGCAAGCATAAAACCACCAGCTACATCTCGTACGGGAAGGATACCCTGTATATCACAGTATGGGTAGAAGGCTAGCTGAGTGTGTGTCGATGGGTCTAGCTGTTCTAAAGCACAAGGCCCAACTTCAAGTACTATTGGTAGTCTTGTTCCACTCCAGTGATGTTTGTATGCTTGGTATCTCTGAAAAATTTGGTAAATGATGAAAAAGATACGACTTTTAATCAATTAGTAAAATTTAAAGGTCTAATAGAATGTTATGGATTTTTTTTAATGAGTTCTACACTTACAAAAACATCCTTTGGTTTCTCAGCAAACAAATGCCTATATTTAAAAGCTTCAGTGAGTATCAAACACTTGTGCTCTGAAGAAAATCGCATTGAGTCCACTTTCTTTTCTTTTTTCATGACAAGTGTGAAGTCATGGTTGGCAGTAGAGTTTGAATGCTTTGCTGATGCAATGGTAACTACATCAGCATACAGCCATTTGTTGGTGACTTCCAGGCGATCTGGATTGTATGTAGTAATTCCATGAGTTCCAATAGAAAACACTCTCTTGTACTTCCCCTTCCAAGAGTGTTTTGTGACAAGGAACGATGCCACATCCTGATTGTCCTTTAGTGGAATCATTTTAACATTTCCTGTGGGTTTTGAAAGCATATTAATACATGTTATTCCGAATTTAATTATATTTCCAGATAGCCCGGAAAAAATATTTCGAACGCAATAAAGAGAATAAAGCTACCATAACAAAGACTTTTTACGTTAATTGAAGTTTAAGATTTAACTAAAAAGAAAATCTTTTAGTTACGTTTCTATGAATTATAAAATTTGCATGTCCTTTTGGCAATATCTGTCAACAATCCACCCCTTTGTAAATAGATCGCATTGACTGTTGCAGTAGACGTGTAAACAAGGAGGTAGCCGATACATTTACACTAAGTTTTAAATTTCAGAATAGACTTTTTATACTCACAAACTATCAACATACGATTATGTTTCAATAACTTCAGCTGATATCCAATAAGAACCACATATTACATAAAATAATTACTAAAATACGATTAATATTAAGTTGATCACAAAATAATCCGACAGATCTAAATTGACAAATGAACAAGTTGACAGAATCAATGCTGCCAGTATTTTCCTAACTTTTTTTAAGGGATTTTATGACCTGGTAACTAAGACATTTAAGCCACACCTTGTTTTAAATTATATTTTAGAGTTGTAATTAAATAGTTGAGCAAAATTTTCAATTCAATTTATTTTGGTTGTACATCATAATATAGGATAAAATATCTAGCTACTGAAATACGTTACATTCAATTGTTTAATTTATTTACATGTTAAAATTAAATTATAATTAAAAATTAGGTCTACAAAATTTTATTTTACACACAAATAGTTTTAAAAGCTAAATTCACAAATAATTACTGCAATTACCGTAATCAAATAAGTAATCGTAATTGTAGATAAAATACATACATAATACATCGTAATCATATATTTCCAAATAGAGTACTAAGATTTGAACAAACAGGTTCAACAACCAAATGGAATGAGTCGATTGAAACTGAATAGTAAAATATGGAGGTGAACATAGTCAATAATAAATCAATAAATTTTAGGATTATACGTATAGAAATATATTTGTTACAAAAAAAAATTACCTACCATGATTCCAAATGTTGCGATATTAACGCCGGCTTAAAACCAATAGATTTTATAAACACTTGCATACACAACACATTCTTAACTTGATGTTTCTTCGGCTTCAAATCTGTAATAACAGTAGTTTATTAACTATTTAGCATTTGTCAAAGGGCACAATATGAGAAAATGGAACAAGCTTCTCGAGTTCTTCCAAATAGTCTACTGAAATAGTCAAGTAAACAACAATCATTTTGCTGAGGTTTTATTTCATCCCATTTGATTTTATTCAATAGCATCCCAAATGGTGAAAGTTTTAAATTAATCAACTTCATCTTATTTCGTTTCCTATCCATTTACAGTATACAAGAAGAAAATAAAAGACCTTAAGTGTATAATCTATGAAAAGACCTGTGTGAGTAAGAGACCTGAAGAGGCTCTGTAAATTTGGCCCCCCTCTTTTTGATTTTCGGATTTTTTTAATTTTCAATTATTTGTTCGTCGTTTGTTCGTTAATGTTCAAATATAAAAATTGTTTGTTCGTCTTTTGTTTATTTATAATTAATTAAATAAATGATCACCGTTAAGTGGGCCCCCTTACTAGATATTTTTATTTTTATCGCTCAGATTAATTCATTTTGATCAATTATCGTTTGTTCGACGACTATTGGTGATTGTCCGATCATAAAAACAATTAAATTCCCAATTATTAATTATTTTATATTAATACCGAAATACTTCACGAGATGGCGTTACAAAAAATCCCTTCCCAAAACTATAAAACCGTTGTGATTGTCTACTGAATAAATAATATTTATTCGTAGGTGATTGTTTAAGATGTTATGAATATTTCAGTTTTTACTTCATCAAAATAACTTGAACTTTACTACTGAATTCCGAAAAAAATTCTAATTAAGGCTGAGTTAATTTCAGCTTTTTATTTAAGCCTCTTACTGTAGTTTTTAATTACATTTATGCGGATTGATGTTTCAAAGCTTTCAGATTTCAATTTTAAAATCTGAAATAATTAAGAACAGCGTCATCTACCGTTCACATTTGAAACAGAATTTAATTCGGTTTAAATTTGTAAAAGTTGATGTTGATTATTATTACACTAATTAATTGAGCGTTTCATTAGCTTTTAAGCTGAGTGACTATTTATAATATATTTTTATTCTATTGTCTATTTTTGTTAAGTAATAAATGAGCAAAAAATAATACTTAACAAAAAGATATGAAATCCGAACAAAAACAGTTTTACTGTAAAAAATTGCGCCAAGTCCACGTTTATAAAACTCATCTCAATAACATTTACACTTTACAAAAAAAATAAGACTTCAATAACTTTCATTCTCTACAAAAAGATGTGAGTGGAATACGGCCATAGACGATCCTTACTCGAGTTTTCACCACAATTTAAGCTTGCTCTTCATCATCATCATTTACATCAACCTCGACTGGTATGTGTCATGCTGGCATTTTTCTTAGCCTATCATGTGGGTATTTGTAAGTACGTTTTGAATTTAAAGCTTTCAATGTGTAACGGTCACCATCCAATACTTCAACTACTTTTTTAAACGGCCCTTTAAACTGTCCGTATCTAATTTTCGTTTGATTACGCGCTCTTCGATTTATGTGTTGGACGAAGCTCACAGCCCACCTTGTTGGTTAGAGTGGGCTACTGGAACCCATACGACATCCACCAGCGCATACACCACGCACCCACACCCTTGAGATAGAAGTTTCTAAGGTCTCAGTTAGTTACACACCGCCTGCCCCCAACCCTTCCCCAAACCGAATACATACACCACTGCCTTCACGGCAGAAAAGGCAGGGTGATGCTAACAACCCGTGCGGTCGATGGCACTATACGGAGCACCCGTCTGGTGCCACGTCCTTACCCACGAGAACGTCGCCGCGCTGCGACGCCGGCAGCGCGCGATCGCAGTCAGAGTTATTCAATGATACCTCACAGTCTCGTACGAGGCGGCGCGCCC